CACGGTAGAGTTCCTGAAGTCTCATCTTACACTTTTTTTTTTGGTTGATGCAGCGGCTTACAGGGTGTGTACTTCTTGGAAGAGAGAAAACCCACATGATATTTTACAGAGGAAAAGATTTTCTTCCTGCTCCAATTGCTGCTGCATTTGAAGAGCGAGAAGCCATGTCTTTTGCAAACAAAGACGTTGAAGACAAAGCAAGAATGCTGCCTACGGGAAAAGTTACCGAGAAGATAGTCCACGTTGAACAAAGGCCACAGGAAACAGAAGCAGATATTAAGCTCAAGGAGTGGATTAAGAACCAAGAAGAGGAGAAACGCAGAGCGATCGTTATGAAAGCTGCCAGAGCAGCCAGAGCAAGACGGATAGAGAGGCGGCTCGACATTGTAAGTAGCTTCGTTTTCTTTATGTTCTTTGGTCATAGTGCGGTATTTGTTGTAGGCCATTCGTAAGAAGGAAAAGGCAGAGGAAGCACTGTCTAAAGTTGAGAAGCTTATGAAGCCGCGTGAGCCTTCAGAAGACCGCGAAACGATTACGGAAGAAGAACGCTACACCCTGCAAAGAGTCGGGCTTAAGATGAAAGCATTTCTTTTGCTAGGTAAGTCTTCTGGAATTATCTTCTGTGTTCGCTGATTCAGTGCGTAAACAGGACGGCGAGGAGTCTACTCTGGCATTATTGAGAACATGCATCTGCATTGGAAATACAGAGAACTCGTGAAAGTGGTGTACAAGGGAAAGGACAGAATGGACATTGAGGATACCGCGAAAATGATCGAATGCGAAAGTGGAGGCATTCTTATTGGCATATATCCAGTCTCCAAAGGACAGGTGTTTTTGTACTATCGTGGGAAAAATTACAGACGGCCAGAGGAGCTTAGGCCGCACAATCTTCTGACGAAAAGAAAGGCCTTAGCAAGATATACGGAAACTCAACGACGAGAGGTTTGTTGTCAACTGCTATACTGGCTTGCCAATCTTGATTTTCTTGTAACTGCGACAGTCTTTGTCTCGCTACATTTTAAGCTTGGAGCATGACATTCGATCACTGGGTTATATTCTGGTATGATCTAGCTTCTCTCAAAGTGTTGTCACCGATGGCTTCATTCACAGGAAAAGGCTAAAGCTGACGAAAGCGAGTCTGATGAAGATGCTGGGTCTGATGAAGATGCAAGTGACGCCGACGTCCAAGACGACAACAGTGATGACAAGGCAGTTCAGCTTTTGTCGACGAAAGGCGCCACTCAGGCTGAAATGCCTGTCGCGCCGCCATTAAAACGATACCAAAGGTCGAGGCATCTTGATCTTGGTCCGATTCTTCGGGCGGAACCTCTCTCTAACAGAGAGAGGTTGATACTGCGGAAGCGGGCGCTACTGATGGGAAAGCCTTCGCATTTTCATATTGGTAAGGACGGTCGTTGAAAGCTACGCTTTGGTTTATTAATTTCGTGATACAGGGAAGTGTAATCTCGTTGGCGGCCTTATAACATCAATCAGGATTTTCCTAAAGAAACGTGCGCTGGTAAAGATTGGGATGAAAGGTCGTGCTTTAGGAACATCTGTCCAAGAGCTGGTAAAGCTTATCGAGGTAACTAGCCACAACTTTGTCCTTGTGCCAATCTTTAAGCACTTCTTTTTTCTGCAGGATGGTACGGGAGCAGCCTTTGTATGCCAAGAGAAGCATAAATTGATATTCTATCGTGGGTGGCCCGAAGGAACGAAGCACCCAGCGTACATGGACGAGGATCTGTCCGCCGATCTGGTCGCAGCGGTTAAAGAAGAAGACGGAACGGATTATGCTTTTGCGGATGAAAGTCGCGAAGAATCAAACACGGACATGGAAGGCGACTTGGCAAATGATAGTGGAGATGAGACTGCAGGGGAAGTTTCCGAGCCTGAATCTAGTAGTGACGACGAGAGCTCTGAAGAGGATTACAGCGATGAAGCTGACTTCTGCAGCGGCGAGGCTGACTTTGGAAGGGATCATGCAGATAACTCGGCTCCCAACTACAGCTACAGGAAGGCCGAGGAGGAATCGGCTTACAGCACTGGTGAGGAAAGCGATGATGAAGTCTGGAGTGTATATAACAGCCAGGATCAAGAGAAGCCGCGTCCGGCTATAGTGGACGAGTTGTAACTCAGTCAATCACACTGGTGAGTTCTTGCTTCGCTTTCTTACTCGTAACTTCTTTGTTTTGTTTATGCTGCAGTGCGATTTTTGTCGGACGAGCCTGACGTCAACGGGATTACGTGTTGAAAACTCGTAAAATATTCAAGGGAAGGCGAAGAATCTCCATCTCGTGGTCTTTGGATCATCTTTTAGCTCTCGCCAAAGCTCATGGTGCCTTGCGACCCGTAGGCTGTATTGTAAGGCGGCTTTTCTCTTTTTTGTTTCGTTTTTCTCTCTTCTCCATCGGTACGCTGATGCAGCACCTAACGTTGGTATTTTATCTGCAGAGAAAACAAAATTATTCTTCGACCGTGCAGCAGGCAAAGTGGCAGAGGTCACTCCGCAGTAAGATTTAGACATTGTACCCGTCCCAAGAAAAAACAAAGGGACTAACCTCTCTAGTTTTTCTTGGTTCCTGTGCAGTTCCAATCAATCGGTCTTCTGCAAAGAAAGCGAAGATAAGAAGCGAGAAGAAGCCGCCTCTTTCCAAGCCGAAAAGAAAATCCCACTTGGCGTGGGACCGAACTGTCGATGGCTGTGGCTAACAACGATTCTTCCCTGCACAACGAAAGCGTCCCGGTAACAAGCACCAGCTCTCGCAACTGTCTCGAGTCGCTCCAAGCATCCGTGCTGCAAGACTGTATCTCGCAACGCAACAAACGAGTAAGTGCGTGGTTTTTCTCTCGACCCGGACGAGGATCTAAGCGTGTTTTCTCCTCTTCCAGCATGATTTGGAGCCCCGCCGCTGTCATGTATGATCATCCCAGCAGGAGTGAATTCGTCCCCCGCAACAGGATTTTTGGAACGCTGGCGACCAACACGCTGGGACCAAAGAGTGGTGCCCATGTCTAGAGAGGAGCTCTGACGAGAGATAAGAAGCCGCAATCCTCACGAGAAAACAAGCAAGCAAAGTCATGGACCACAGCCTGAGAGCGTAGTAAACACGAACAAACGTCGTGCCACGATCGGAAGCCATTTTTTCAAAGACATCCGCCCGCGAACTGGACAGCGGCTGGGATGGCGCCACGCGGCCGCCCTAGCCCCCATCCAACGGCTACAGTTTGAAGTTTCTATTTCCGCCGTAGATGCGCCCCATCGAACGGCTGCCACTGACGAGTTCTTTCTCCTGTGTGGGCGGCTGTGTGTTTTTATATTTCGTTTGGAAAGCTAGAGAGGAGGAGGAGGAGGGCGAGGAGGAGGAGGAGAATGGCATGAAAATCTGCGCTCACAGGATTCCTTCCCAGCGCGCGCGCCTTTCCTCGTCGCAAGGCAGAGATCTTCTTCGTGTCCCGTGCGCGCCGAGGAGGCGGTACTACATTTCTACTTTGCTTGCGATCTCCTCCAAAGTGGCCGCGGATTCATCACGCCAGTCACAGGATCTGGCAGCCGCATTGGGAATTCGGTAGCGCGCGCGCGCGCGGGCAATCCATCCATCGATCGGCTTCGCAATTGCCCTCTTTTTTCGTCTCTCTGTCTCTTTCTCTCTCTTGTTCTTGGTTGTTCTTGGCCGGGGAATTTCGATAAGAAGCGAGCAATCATGCGCGGGATTTCCAGATTCCTCCTCTCTCTCTCGCTGATAATCGCTGCGGCGATCCAGCAGGCATCGAGCAGCAGGATCAATGCTGCCGCAGCGCATTCACACACGCACATGAGGTTCCAGCGCCAGCGCCGGCTCGAGGGCGCGTCCGAGGCATCGATCCGGAGCCTGTGGGACGCCTACACGGCGCTCCAGGCGTGGAAGGCGGCAATCACCAAGGATCCACTCAACATCACCGCGACGTGGATCGGCGACGAGGTTTGCAGCTACAAGGGCGTCTTCTGCTCGGCCGCCCCGGACGATTCCTGCGAGAGGGTGGTCACCGGCATCGATCTCAACCACGCCTACCTCAGCGGCAAGCTCGTCGACGAGCTGGGCCTCCTCTCCTACCTCGTCCTCTTCCACATCAACACCAATTTCTTCTGGGGCACCGTCCCGCCCTCCTTCTGCAAGCTCGCCCACCTCTACGAGCTCGACCTCTCCAACAATCGCTTCTCCGGCCCCTTCCCCAACGTCACGCTCGACCTCCCCAGCCTCCGCTACCTGGACGTGCGCTTCAACCGCTTCCGGGGCGCCATCCCTTCCCGCCTCTTCGATCGCGGCCTCGACGCCATCTTCGTCAACGACAACGATTTCCAGTGCGCCGCCCCGGCCACGCTCGCAAACTCCACCGCCTCGGTGCTCGTCCTCGCCAACAACATGATCCAGGGCGAGATCCCGAGCTCCATCGGCGCGCTCAACGGCAGCGTGGAGGAGATCATCCTCCTGGGCAACATGCTCACGGGCTGCATCCCCGACTCCATCGCCAACCTCACGCAGGTCACCGTGCTCGACCTCAGCGGCAACCAGCTCGGCGGCTACGTCCCGGACGCCATCGCCGCCATGAAATCGCTCGAGCAGCTCAACCTCGCGGGGAATCTCCTCTCGGGGCCGCTGCCCGAGGGGATCTGCGAGCTGCCCAAGCTCCAGAACCTCACGCTCGAGGATAACTTCCTCACGGACATCGCCCACCAGTGCCTCGCGCTGCCCGCGTCCAACGGGACGATCGTGGACACGGACCGGAACTGTATTCCGTACCAGCCCAACCAGAGACCCCACGACCAATGTGCGGACTTCCTCTCGCAGCCGACGAGCTGCCAACCAGAGCCGCTGGTAATGGCGCCGCCCGTGCTACCACCGCCGCCTCCATCGCCGCCGCCACCATCACCGCCGCCACCGTCACCGCCGCCGCCGCCGCCGCCGCCGCCACCCGAGTACCACTACGAATCACCGCCGCCACCTTCATACCACTACGAATTACCGCCACCTCCACCGTACTGATTGATTGGATTTTAGTTTGTCAGCGAAGCTTGAGACATTCGATTCTCGGTTTGTTCGCGAGTTAACTGGAAACAAGGAGCAAAAGAAAAGAATGTTTGCCTGTCTGGTTTGATTGTCGGCGCTGCTCACACAGGATCCACGGCCATGGGCTCGGCAGCCGCCACTGGAGCTTCCATCGAGACAAAAGCGCCGCTGCCGCTCGTGTCCTGCTCGATCGCGCTGCTCTGCTGCTCGTCCTCGAGCGTGGTCTGTAGCGAATCAACCTGGAGTGAAACACAAGGCCAAGTTAGAACAACTAGGAGGTTTAATCGCGACAAAAAAAAAATGAAAGGATGGATGGATGTAATGGAGCTTACGGCGTGTAGCAAGAGGGCGAATTGTTTCTTCCGGAGCTCCAGTGTCCGAGTGGCGGTCATGTTCTCGGCCTCGAGCGTCGCGATCTCTTTCTCGAGCTCGGTGATCACGTTCTGGGTCTCTGATCGCGGAGGTTGAGCGGCTATCAGCCGACGAATGGCTTCGCACTCCTCTTTGTGCTGCCTCTCGATCTTGCTTTGCTCGAGTTGGATCTTCAAATCTTCGATGTCATTCCTAGTCTTTGAAAGAAAGGAAAAAAAAAAAAAGGTTCTTTCAGCCTCAGTGCGAAAGTGAGCTCGAGGAGAACAAAAGAAAACACGAACTCGATCGAATACCTGGATGGTTTGCTGGTCGAGCTGCTGCTGCAAATCCTTGAAACTCTGCTGCTCGCGCTTGTTGGCATCGATCACGGCCCTCGTCTTGAGCAGCGGGAGCTCGAAAGTGCTGAGCTCCTGCAGCAAGGATTTGTAGAGCTTCTCGCACTCCACCACATTGTCGGAGCTCTTATCCACCTCGGCCACGAAAGCGACGAACTTCTTGAGCAACTTCTTGAGTGGCGGCTCGCCCCGGGTCGTGGTGGTCCGAGTGAGCAGCCGCTGCCGGATGATCGCATCGTCCTCGGCAGGCCCAAACGCGAAATGCCCGGTCACTTCTTCGCGCTTCCCAGCTACCTTCTTCACCTTCGTCCCCGTCCTAGCTCCTGTGAGAAGATCACCCGTGAGCGAAGAATGCGAGAGATCTAGCGAGAGATTCCAGTAGCGCCTAGCTACGATGATAAAGAAGAAGGATGGGAGCTACTTGCCTGCCGGCTCTGTCGCCATAGCGCTTTCGCGCTCTCCTAGAAACCCATATTAGGGTTCATGCTTCTTCTTCCTCAAGCCCTAAGCCAGGAGGAGAGATTCCTGTCTCGATCTCAGCTAGCGTGCCTCATCCAATCCTGCGCCAGTGCGGGCGATCTTTCCTCGACGCGGCAGCTCCACGCGCGAGTTCTCGCATCGCAGGACAGATACCTTGCCAATCTCTTGATCCAGGCCTACGGCAAATGCGGCAGCGCGAGCGACGCGGCCGATGTGTTCGCGCAGCTCATCGATCCAAATGTCTTCTCCTGGAATTTCATGATCTCGGTGTACGCCCAGAACGGTCTCGTCGATCACGCCAGGCGGCTGTTCGATCGCGTCCCGCAACCCAACGTCGTCACGCACACGATCATGGTCCAGGTTCTTGCCGAGAATGGGCATCTGGACGAGGCGGAGGAGCTCTTCGATAGAATGGCCGATCGAAACGTTGTGTCGTGGACGACGATGCTGGCGGCGTATGGGCGGAGCGGCAATGTCGGCAAAGCGGAGCATTGCTTCCGCCAGATGCCCGTCAAGAATGCCGTGACGTGGAGCGCCATGCTCTCGGCATATGCCGCAAATGGGCATCTTGAGCAAGCTAAAGAACTTTTTGACCTAATTCCAGTTAAGAGCGAGGTGGCATGGACGGTCATGATGCAAGCTTTTGCGCAGTGCGGGTATCTTGAGGAGGCCAAGAGCTTGTACGATGCAACGCCTGTAAAGAACAATTTTTCGCAGAGTACGATTATCTCGGCATATGCTCATTTTGGGCATCTTGATATGGCCAAGAGAATCTTCCATCGCCTGGAGTCTCCCAATGTGGTTGTGGTGACCGCTATGTTACAAGCGTACTTACAGCACGGATGCCTTGAGGATGCCCGGAATCTCTTTGATACTATGCCCTGTAGGAATATTGTGTCCTGGACTGTCATGGTCGTGGCATATGCCGAAGCGTGGCAAATTGACAAAGCCAAGGCTCTCTTTGATGAAATGCACGAAAGGAATCTAGTGGCCTGGACTGCCATGCTCAAAGTCTATGCGGAACTTTGCAGCATTGACAATGCCAAGTCATTTTATGAGAGAATGCCCGAGTGGAATTTAGTGGCAATCACCTCAATGGTGGCTGCATATTCCCACTCCGGGCATCTTGAGGCTGCGAAGCATCTCTTCGACTCCGTTCCTCGGGACGAACGGGACGACGTTATCTGGAACACAATGCTACAGGCCTACGCCGAGAACAACGAACTCGCATCAGCGAAGAGCTTGTTCGATCACGGGATGCCTCAACGAACCGTGGTAACTTGGAGCGCCATGGTTCAAGCTTACGCTCGAAACCGTGAGCTGGAAGCGGCAAAGTTCGCGTTTGATTCCATGCCGGAGCGTAACACGACATCGTGGTCGACCATCATCGGGGCCTACGCTCAAAATGACAAGCTGGTGGAGGCCAAAGAGCTGTTTGATCGGGTACTGGCGCGAGATGTTGTTACCTGGAACACCCTCGCTGCTGGCTACTGTCGGCTCGGCCACTGCCAAGACCTTCTAGATCTCTTCCGGGCGATGCTCTTGGAGGGTCTCACTCCCACAGACGTCTCGGTCTTGTGCGTTCTCGTTGCCTGCGCGCACAGCCACGCCGGATCGTTCTTCCGAGAGGGACGGAGACTGTTTGTCAGCTTGGAGCTTGATTACAAACTGGAGCGAACGATGCAGCACTACTGCTCCATGGTGGATCTTCTCGCGAGGTCGGGACAGGCGAAAGATGCCCAGGAGCTGATCGACACAATGCCATTCGTGCCCGATAGCGTCGCGTGGACCGTGTTGCTCGGTAGCGGCCAGTTCCACCGCAGGTCTATATCTCCCAGTGCAAAGTCTGCTGTTGCTAAGCTCCTCGGTTCTTCCAAACTAGACTTCGGCGGCTCGGCCTCTCACGTTTTGCTCTCCAACATCTACGCATCTAGCAGATGATCGGACAAGATCTTTCACGACCACCTTGGTTAAGCTTGCTGGATGCAAGTTGGATTACAGGGATACGCACAATCAATAGCTTGTTCCGGCTGGGCAGTCCTCTCGAAGTACCAGTCGCCAACACTTTGCGCTGGAGACTGCAAAAACTCGGAAGTCGATCTCATCAGTAAACTCCAAACTCGAGGAGATCTTGTCACGCGACAGGGGAGACTTGCCTTGCCATTGATTTTGGGGATGTTCCAAGTCGCATCCCAGGTTGCTTGGCAGTGCGTGAAGCATGCGTTGATGTAAAGAGCCAGCGAGCTCCATCCACCTGAAAGAGCATCTAGCATGCTTGCTCGAAATCCTTGGAGGAGTTCAACTGGTGGGCATGACGAGTAGCTGATGCAAGAGTTGTATGAGTCCCTCGAGAGATTAAGGCCGTGCTCGAGCTGTGTAAATTATCAAAAGCACGAAATTCTGAGTTTGTAAACTACGAAGACGAGCGCTTACTTGCCAGGAATCGTAAGCAGCATTCAACAAGAACAATGGTGGTTTGACGTAAGCTTTCATGATCTCAGGAAAGAAACACTGGCAAAAACAAAGAACAAATCAAGCAAAAGAAAGCGCTTCTTTTCGAGAGTACCTTCGTAGCATCACCGTTTGAGTCACCAATGCAGGATTGATCCAGCGTGTTTTCGAGCTTGTGTAAGCTGACCACGTCCTTGTAAAGCTTTGACATGAGGTAGTGACCACCAGGATCGGAACTGTACTCCAGCCAGATTTCTAAACGGTCTAAAAAATTCTTTGCAAGTTCTTACGTGTTTATGAAGAACCCAGCATCACTCAAGCATTTCAGTGTCACGCCTGGATCGAGGAGGCTCTGGACATCGTTGCAATGGAGTATAGTCGAAAGCCCTCCAGCCGAGCAGCCCGATAGAAGAACCTGATCAAAAATTCGAGAGGTAAGTTCTAGAGTAGCCTTTCTTTTCGACAAACCTGTGTCGCGTTGCTCAATCCTTTGCTTCTCAAGTCATCAATGACTGCTCTGAGAATCCTCTTCCCTCGAAAGTACAAAACCTGGAGGACTCCAGGAAGAACAAATAAATGATCGATATCGCGATTGATCTCACAGCTTTTTGCCGCGTTTCTTACCTGGCCGGAGGATGAAACGAGGGGCTCCTCGACATCAGCAGTGAAAGAAGCTCCATCGCAGTACCTGACGAACACTTGTGTCCAGTTGAAAAAGTTCGGGTTTACGGAAGCGTCGTTGCTGAGCGAGCCTCCGAATCCAGTCGGGCTTTGCATGTAAATGGAGCTTCCCCAGTGACCTTTGGCGCGGTTAGCACAGGATACCACGGAGTCACACCATCCTCCACCCTTGCATTTCCCAGAAACCAAAGCTATGGATCATCATCCTATAACTTGATCGAGCAATCGATCTTTACCTCCAAAGAAATATGCCATGAGTTTGAGGCTCCCGGTAGAAGATGATAAGCCGGAACGCTTCCATCCAGGCAAACTATATAGCATTGTCACACACAATTTAGAACATGGATCTAGATCGCAAATGGCCTACCCGCTCCTGACGAATTGGACGCAGCTAGATAAGTTATTGGAACCAGAACGGCATGTACAATAACTGGAAACGCAAGAAGCGAGAGAACTTGGAAGAACATTGGAAATGAGGGAGCTGCTCAATTATGAGACAAAGTGTGTCAGGATGACCCGTGATCAGTTTTCTCCGCTAAAAAGATCTGTCCACTGGAGTAACTTATGTTGGATTGTTTTTTCGCGGTGCTTTTCACAGGCACGGGCCACACGTTTGATGGAAACAGCCATGCACTCAGAGCTCCACTAGCAGGGGATCCATTGTTTCTCAATTGCGTAAAGATCTATTTATTCTGCTAATCAAAGATAGATACGCAAGTTGGATTGCAAGGATAGGCGCAATCTATGGCTTGTTGCCCAGCTTCACCATTTCTCTGAAAGTACCAATCGCCCACGGCCTGAGCTGGGGACTGCAGCAGCATCAACTTGGTTAGTGCACTTCCAGAGATTATAATCTACTTGCTTTGCTCTTGATCTTTGGGATGGTCCATTGATCATCGCTTCGAGTGTGGCAGTGAGTGAAGCAAGAGTCTATGAAGACGCTCAGGGATTCCCTGTTAGACAGCGATCCAACTCGAAGCGCATCGATCATACTCATCCGCAGCTGCTGAAGTATTCGAATGGGTGGGCATGATGAGTTGGTCATGATGCAAGGTTTGTAGATCTCTCTCGACAGCTTCTTGACATGCTCTAGCTGCAATAGTTAACTTTGTTTGACAGCATAAAGAAGATCTACGTACTTGCCAGAAGTCGTAAGCAGCATTGAGAATGAAGAGCGGAGGCTTGACGTAATCTTTCATGACTTGTGGAAAATAACACTACACAGAACACAAGTGCCAGCTGAAACACCGAATAAAATCTACTATTAGTACCTCTGTACCATTGTTGCTTGAATCGGACACACAAGATTTGTCAAGTGTCTCGTGCAACTTATGAAAGCTGACGATGTTTGTGTAAAATTTCAATATGGAATTGCTTCCCTGGATGTCCGAGCTGATAATTTTTTTCATTTTGAGCTCCAAGATAACATTAAGATCCAACTTATAGATTACTCACGCATTGACGAAGAAGCCTCCATCACTCAGGCATTTCAGCTTGACACCATGATCAAGAAAGCTTGCCATGTCGTTGCATCGATGGATCGCGGCCAGCCCTCCGGCAGAACAACCGGACAGAAGAACCTGATAACATTTACAACGAGAAATCAGCAGATTGTGAGAATCTGAACTTATGTATAAATACCTGGTTAGCGTCGCTCAACCCTCTATATAATTTGAGTTCCTCAATCACAGCCTCGAAGATCCTCTTCCCTCTAAAATACAAAACCTGCGTGCTCGAGGAAGAGAAAAAGATGGTGGGATTAACATAAATGCCACTTGAGGAACACCTTTCCAGAAGGAACTGCGAGTGTGTCGCTAACATTGGCGCTAAAGGATGCCCCGTCGCAGTACCTCACTAGAACATGAGTCCAGTTGAAAAATTCGGGATTCACTTGGACCGAGCTGCTAAGCAGGCCATCAAACTTTACAAAGGGCTTCATGTACTTGGAGCTTCCAAAGAAGCTCTGGGCTCGGTTAGCGCAAGCTTCCAGCGATTGGCACCATCCGCCACCCTGCATTTCTCATACAGTTCACAGTTTGTTCTCTTCTTGTACCTCGAATGAAATGTGCCACGAGCTTGGATCTCCTTGCTGGAGATGGTAAGCAGGAACGCTCCCATCTAAGCACACTGCAAGGCATCTTGAAAGTAGTTTCAACCAAGAATCGGGAACATGTATAATTACCAGCTCCAGACGACTGCGCCATGTTTCCAAGATACGTTATCTGGACATGCTGAGCCGTGTCCTCGTCGAGGGGATTCGCATCCAGAGAAGGAACCGAAAGTGCCGGGGCGAACGAGAAAAGAGAAACCATCATCCACAACAAAGTCATGGCCAAAGCCGAGAGAAACCAAGAGGGAAGTGCGCTTGTATACCCTCGTCATGTCACGCGCTACCTGTGTAGTTAAATCATGGTTCTCATGCATTATAGTGTGAATCATGTGTCAATTATACTTGCCCTAAATCCGTCCTTTAAGGGAAGAGGTAGTTTGGCTCAAACACTTGATGGAATACTTTTATTTAATTATTTGTTAACTTGTTGGGTTGTATGACCCGTCTGTGTAAAAAAAATTCTTTGAAGATTTTAGACTTTAGCGTTTTGAAAGCCATGGGGAGAGTGGAAGCTTCTTTTGGGCATATCCTCGAGAGGTTGTGTGGCACCACGTCTCATCGTTCTTTCCGGCCAGCCCAGACACCTCGGCTGTTACGCACAATTTTAGTCACGAATGGCTTGAGCAGAGACCTTTGCAAATGGCTGGAATTCCAGTTCCGCGGGTGATTATCCTGGAACTGGTTCTGCTCGCAATTTTACAAGCTGGTGCTTGTGCTGGAGCTGGTGATGCTACCGGTGCGAATTTGAGGGTCTCGGGGAGGTCTTCTTTTGGTTCCATCACAAGGCGGGCATTGCTGGAATGCCGGGATCCAAATCCATACCTCAACTTGATGCTTGACACCGCAGGCCCTCTCGCCAGTGTCCAGACAGTGGTGACGACCGTGAGTGGTGTTCTTCGGCCGAGTTCCAGAGATTGGATTGGAGTGTTCTCGGAAGCAACTCACAAGTAAGCTCCCAATTTTCCGAATAACCATCTTTCTCTTCCATTTTCTTCTGTCCATTCTTCTTTCTCCCTTATTCCCTCTTGCTCCATATTAGTTTGTCTGCTTGCTCCATTTGATATCTGGTGATTCTTCAATGCGGAAGCTCCGAAAACCCGCACTTCACATCGGTCGTTTTCGTTCTACAGCTACTCTGACTGCCTTGCAAACAAAGCACTTTATCTGCAGACAGGAGACTTTTCCAGCCTGCCTTTGCTTTGCGACTATCCCCTCAAGGTTGTTCTACAAAAGCAAGAAAGATAGCTCTAATGATCTTGATCTTAACTTGGCTCTTGATCGATTTTGATTTCTTCCAGTTCAAGTTCCTCAGCGATGATCCTGGCTACATTAACTGCTCCAACAAGACGTGTGTCACTGATTCATGTAGCGTGAGGACTTGCTCTGGATCACTTGCTTTCCGTCTTGTCAACATAAGAACCGCCGTCACCTTTGTGTTCTTTGGCGGCGGGCTTGTAACTCCCTGCATTCTCAAGATCGCCCCACCGCTTTCGTTTGCGAGGCCTGGGGCCCCTTTATACGGGCATTTGTCTCTCAAGGACTCTTCTGGCACCTCTGTAAGCTTTTAAATCTTTTCACAACTTTACTCTACTAATTTCTTTAACTCAAGATGGTGGTAACTTGGATCAGCAACGATAATGCCACTCAGAACGTCGAGTATGATGGTCGGAGCTCCACAAGCGAAATCACAACTTTCCAAAAAGAAGATATGTGTGGTAAAAGTTAACATTTTTTTTTTTTAACTTTATTTTGGGTAATTCTTTTAGGTTCGCCAGCTACAGATTTTGGATGGCACACTCCTGGATATATGCATCATGCAACAATGACAAGTCTTTCTCCTGGCAAGAGTTTTTCTTACAGATATGGAAGGTAAGAAAACTATGTGGGTTTCAGCAACATTAGCCTACGTTTGGTTAAATCCATAGTGAGAAAGTTGGCTGGAGCAAACTCAAGAATTTTACCACTCCTCCAGGGGATGGATCAAACAGTGCAAGCTTCATTGTTTTTGGAGACATGGGGAAGGCTGAACGAGACAACAGCTTAGAACACTACATACAAGTAATATAGACTTCTTGAAAATTCTACCTTAGCAAGTATATATTGCAGCCTGGAGCGTTACAAGTGATAGATTCTCTTGCCAACCAGACTGTGGACACCATATTCCACATAGGCGATATAAGTTATGCCACTGGCTTTCTCGCGGAATGGGATCACTTCCTTGAGATGATTGAGCCTGTGGCTTCCAGGATCCCTTACATGACGGCCATTGGAAACCACGAGAGGTACCGAAATCTATATCATTTGCTCCAAGTTCTTGATTTACTATGATCGCCCAGGGATCATCCTGGCTCAGGATCCAAATACAACTCCACAGACTCGGGAGGCGAGTGTGGAGTTCCATATCGATCTTACTTCCCGATGCCTGCCCAAGGCATCGACAAACCATGGTACTCTATAGAACTTGGTCCCGTGCATCTCACAGTAATCTCCACGGAGCACGACTGGACTCCAAACAGTGAACAGGTAAAAGAAAATTCCGTTTTGCTTTAAGTTAGGTATAGTATCATTCCTATAGTATTCTTGGATGGAACACAATCTTGCTTCTGTAAACAGAACTCACACACCATGGCTGGTATTTGTCGGGTACATAACTCACCATTTATTTCTAAATTATTTCTAATTATTTTCATATTATTAGGCATCGCCCAATGTACTCTACGCAAGGCGGGCTTCTCTCCAAAATTTTACCCGCAATCGATCCTGATTTTGTAGAAGCTGTAGAGCCTCTTCTAGTGAGTAGCAAGGTAAATATAATATATATAGATGTCTGGCAAGCTTTTCAATTCTTCTCTCTAGGTTGATTTGGCATTGTGGGGACATGTTCACAACTACGAGCGCACCTGTGCTGTGAATCAAAGCCGCTGCGTCCAGGTCCCAGCCAAAGATGATACTGGGGTCGATGTTTACGTCAGTAATGGATCAGCTCCAATTCACGCCGTGGTTGGCATGGCTGGATTCAGCCTCGATCTCTTCCCAGCGAACGTAAGTTTTCAATAGTTCATAACTTCGAAACTATATGCTGCTTCAGTGGAGTTCATGGAGCATGGTTCGAGTCTCTGAATTTGGGTATAGCCGGATCTCAGCCAACAAAAGCGAGCTCCTGTTCGAGGTACCATAGTTGCAAACATTCCTAAAACCTAGCAAACCTGTTCTTCCAGTATATAATAGCGAAGGATGGAGCAAAAGCCGATCGATTCAAGATATTGAAGAACATTAATCCCTAAGCAACGGCGTACCACACCTATCACACGTAGGGGACGACTTGTAAGCAGCGTCCGGGTACCATGAGCGATCCACTCTGGAACCGGCAGCAGTGAAATTTCGAAAAACAAAAATCTAATAATATTGCTTCGCCCCGATTAAACCTAACATTCCCTCTGCCACGTGGATCCAAAGAAAGTCAAATATCATTGACCCGATCAGATCAAACTGAGACCTCGCACTGCGTCGAGAAAAGATCCCTCGCATTCAGGATTGCGATCGAGACAAGAATCTCTGGCATGCCAAAATACAGTATCTCTGCTCTTCTCTGGAGCTTAGGGTTCTCTCACTCTTGTTCACAAGTTTCATGCTGCCGAGTGGAGAAGGGATGATGAATTATTGCCCGCATCTTCCCTGACAATCGGATGGCGCGGCCGCTGCAGCGGGTAGACTGGGGATCCGTTAGGATAGAGCAGCCCGAAGTGCCTCTCCAGCTCAGGCCCGCCCTTCTGATTCTCGTTGAACAGAGCGAACACCCAAGCGGCGAGCCCTCCCGGCTTCCTGGGCGTCCCGACTCCGCTCCTGGTGCGTCGAATCAATCTGCTGTTGAACGCCTTGGCATTCTCCACGGTGGCGCCTGGCGCTCCCCCGCTGGGCCAGCCGGATTCCCCAATTGCCAGCGGCAGGTTCCCGTAGCCCTTCCTCTCCATGGCCGAGTAGATCGCATCCACCATGGCATCGAAAAGATTCGTGTAGCCCTTGCCGCCGTCCCAGACCTTGACGTCGTTGCTTTGGAAGAGGGCGTATTCCAGGCTTATGTCGCGGGGATTCCCCTGCCAGGCGAAGAAGGTGTACACATTGGCCATGAACACCGAGTTCGTGGAGGACAGGAAGCCCAGCAGCGAATTCACGACTGAGTCCCTTCCGTTGTCCGATCTGAATTCTCCCGCGGATGGCGGGAATGATTCTTTCAGGATGTCCGTTGCGATTGGCGTCGTGACCTTGATCTGGTTGAAGCCAAGCGAGTTCAGCGCGTTTCTGAGATTCCACATTGAAGGGACTAGATCGGGCCAGGGGAGCCCGGGATCCGAAAGGACTTCGTTCCCCACCGCGATGAATTCGACGTTCGTTGCGGGGTAAATCGGCGCGATTCTATTCCTGACCCAGTCCGACGCCGCGTTGGAGCTCCTGGCGATGGAGCTGAACTCCTGGTTGGTCACCGCGACTGTGAGCCGGATCCCCGAATTCGCAAAAGCCCGCAAAACTGTTCGGTCCGTGTCGAAGATCTTCACCCTCTTGAACTGCAGGGACTTGATGAGATTCACCACTTGATCCGGCTGCGGAAGATTGTTCGCAACTCTCCCATAGTTGACCCCAATATCTTGGCAAGAACAAGAAACAAACATCAGCGATCAAACCAACTTCAGAGAAGATGAAAGTTCTTTCTACCATTTGCTCCTCCGTCGCCGCCACCCCCTCCTCCTTGGCACCAGTTGCATTGGCCCTGGCATCCAGCTCCGCAAGCCGAATCGCACCCGCACCGTCCGAACTGGCTGCAGCACATATTGTCCGGGCATGGATCGTTGGGACCGCATTGCTGGGCGATTGCCGCAACAAGAACGTTCATCAGAACCAAGAACCCCACAAAGACCCTGATGTTCTTCATGGTTGCTTGCTTCTTCGTCTTGATGGAGTCCATAGCAAGTTCTTATAGTCGAAATAAGATGGTGTTTACAGTCCATTTGTGTGAGCATGGGACCTACGACCACGTAAGGGAGTGCAAGTCGAATACGGCTTTACGCACTAATTATAATTGCAAGTTGGGCCGCATGGTGCGGGGAATGAGCATTATCCATACAGGAATTATAAGTGTTCAAGTCCGTGGGGCTTGACAAATTGAGGAGTTTGTGGTTGTTATGACTTCCTTGCGATGTTTTTTTGAACCCTATTCCAAGGTTGATTCTGCACCTGTGTAAAATTTCATTCAAGACAACGAAATGACCAAGCATGTTGGCGATCGTCACCCGGTCACGTCAATCCCAAATGCCACGATCTCATGCCATCTTGATTGTAAACATGAGCTCGTATCATCAGCAAAATTGATCTCAGTGTCACAGAACACTAGAATTAAATCTATTATATTCGAGGTGCTATTGGACTGAAAAGACATGCAATAATATAAAAGCTGACGATGTAGTGATAATTTTTTCATTTTGATAGTCATTACTCAGGCATTTACTTATGCCCTTTAAATGTTGGATGTAGCCTTTGTTCTTGAAGGGCAAGTTTCGTCACCTTTACCACTTCCAGGGAAAAGGATCAACACACGACTCCCTCATCCGACGGCTGAAGCGTTGCCAACTGGCCCCATCCAGGCCGTTGGGCTTTCAAATGCTCGGTTTCTGGACGAGCAGCAGCGGCTCTGGCGTGACCGCGCAACAGCCGCAGGCGCAGTATCTGGTGCTCGCGGTCGAGGCGGCGGCGCTAGGCCCGTCGTGGCCGCTGCTGCGATCCGAGTATCTCGACAAGATCGCCAGGTAATTTCTTGCTTGTTGGCGAGGATTCTCGTTCCTGATCGGTATTTTAGAGCGTTCTATGGTCAAGATGGGAATGTCCGGTGAGAATTTATTTTTTCTCTTTCGGTGGTTCTCTCACGGTCGTGGCTTTCTAGAAGGACAATGGGCGCTACTCTGGAGATGGCGCTCGTGGTCTTTCGCGGCCATGATTCCTACAGTGGTAGGCAAAGACTTTAGAGAGCTTTATCCATCTATCACAGGCTGCCTGCTCCAGAGAAGTGGCCGGACGCCGAGCTTGGAGCTGTTCCAGCTATGGCTATCGTCCATCGATTTCTCGGGTGGTGGATTTGGTGAAGTTGCTGTGGCGGAGGGATTAGCGGAAGCTCTTGTGGTAAGCATATATAAGTTTCACTTTGAATAGTGAAGCTGAGGATTTTGAGCCTTGCCGACTCAGCCGCCAAGTAACCAGGCAAGCCAGAGACATTGTATTTTGGTGGCAGCTTCAAATCCTCACAGGCTTCAATCCCTCATCCGTGGCGCGGACGCGAAGCCGGGCCATTGGTGGCTTGCGGATGCTGAAACCGTTTCAAGGGCATTCTCTCAGGTTTCTTTATGCATTTTCTCATAGACGATTGTTTTCTCACATCGTGTTTTCCTTCAGTGCCATATATCTCTTTCAGTCTTTCAGTTGTTTGTCCGCGGCAGTGGTATGCTATTGCTAATTCTTATATGTCTTTCCTTAAGGCTTTTGAGATCAGGCCAAGCAAAATCCTCGAGCTTCTGACCCTTCGAATGAGATTGCCAAGCACACGCAGCACCTTGTCTTAAAGTACCTGCAACTGCGGTGTCATCAGTGTCCACCGGCACAGACCTCCTTAATTTTAATTTCGTGAAGGCTTGGCTAACTTCTTTCTTTTGTCTCGCAGTGCCTACAACCTCTGGAAGGCAATCACGTCAACTGTAAAAATTGTAAGAATTTTTTTCTATGTTTCGTTTCTTACATATGAGGTGCAGGAACACGTCTCGACCTCTGGTCCGCCGCCGCCTATGGTATTCAGGACTTTAAGAGCATCAACACTAATCCTTTGCAATCGCATCGTCCGGTTCCTGCTGCGAGCGTGCTGAATCAAATCAGGCAGGGAGCAGGCTCAGCAGCGGTATCAAGCATTCTCTCTGCTAGATCTTTAGCAGTGGGACAAGTTGGTATGGGGATCACACGACCAGTTAGTCAGCCAGCCAGCATGGCACACGGACTTAGTGGCGATGCAGGTAGTGCAAGCCTGGGACCAGTACAAGGAAACGCAAATACTAGCAGCATTCTGCCGTCGAATGCTCCTGCGGGGATGATGCAACCAGCTAGTATGCCAAGTGGCTTACCTCCGGTGGCGAGCACGGTTGGAATGGCCCAGGGTTTGCAAGCTGCAAATCCTCTCGTGGTTGGGATTGGAACGGCGCCTTGCGAGCAGGGAGGTGATCAAGCAGCGGTCGCTGGTTCCGCTTGCTTCCCAGTTCGTGGCAGGCAGTGCTCCATTTCTCTTGCGCTTGCTTGCAGGCTTGTTTGCTGTAGTGGGCCTACAGCCACCTCAAGAACATCCACGACAGCTTCGTTCCAGATCGATGCCTCGAGGAGCTCTACTCGCAGACCTTCAGACCTTCGAGCGGAAGGCCTCCTCCGTGGGAACTGCTAGAGGATACACCCAAGCCGCGGGGCGCAGCCCAATCTCTCCGGCTTTCGGCCTCTCGGCGGACAACTTTCTCTAGTACGAGGTAGAGCTCGCGGCCGCGAACGAGTGCCGGGATCTCTTCTGGGCACTCCGGGGCGGCCGGGGAGGAGTGGTGGTGGCGGCGACGCTCAAGACCCATCCCGAGCTTCCTCTCGGCGGTGTACAACATCACCGCCAAGAACGAGCCGAGCTTCCTGGGGAGGTTCGGGCCAGTTCTTCCGATATCTCGCGCTACAGTACCTTCCAGAGGTCGCTGGAACCACTGTTGACTCTCGTCCGCCGGGGCTTGACCTGGTCAGCGTATCGTTGACCACGTTTTCTTCCTTCGAGGAGTGGCAGGGCGATCGAGCTGCGTCGACAACATCACTAGCTTCGTTGGGAGCCTTTCTCCGGCTTCCAGGCTGATCCACGCACTCTCCTGTTGCCGGTCGCGAAGTGGCGCACGAATCCAGCATGTCTCTGGCAGGTCATTCTCTCGACGAGCTGGGCCGAGATGTCACAGGCTGTCCGGGATGAAGCTGCGACAAGTGCAAACAAGCTGCTGAGTGATCTAGCACACGACGAGACAAACTGGGAGCAGTCGTTTGTTTGAAGAGCACTATCTACGGTTGTATGGTGTGTCATCGCTTCTGCGCATCGAAATCTCCGCTCCTGGAGCTTTTGTTTCTCAAGATAGGTTTGCGAGGCAGTGGAACAGGATCCTGTCGAGAACCGTATTCACTAGAGACCAAACGAGAGTACTTGATCGAGGAAAAGAAAAAGAGGAGAAAGAGGCTCCAATGAAGCCCCGGGCATCGCCATACGTCCTCGCAAATGCCAGCTCCCACGATAGCGCAGTATTCGCCGCCAAGACGACGCTGTCGCGGTTCCGAGTCGAGCTCCAACGCCGCCGCGACACCAACTTCCCCGGCCAGATTTATGGAGAGAAAAGGAGCTCACTCCTGTTCACTCCCTCCGTCAGGTTCAGCGACCGGCTGTCCTGCCAACCATCGCAAGCATAATTTCCGACCATCTTTGCCTCGTCCGAGGACAACCACACATTGTAGAAGATGACTTCCTCCTTCGGATGCGACGGTTTGAAGTCCTTGACAGCAGGCCGTCCGTCCAGGATAAAGTTGAGCATGTAGACCACACAGGAGTGCATCTTCGCATACATCTCGGATTTCTCCCAGTGCTCTTCCAAGCTTTTTAGAGTCCCTTGCCTCAGAAGCTCTAACGCAAACCATCTGTTCCCGACACCGTCTTTGACAAATATATCCAAGCGACTCCTCTTATCGTCTTTCGTTTTTGGCTCTGGTATCACAATCCAGTTCTGATGGGGATACGCTCCCAACAAAACTGCCTTCAGCTTGACCAACATTTCGATCTGGATACTGTACTCCGAAGCAAGCGAATCCTCATTCTGTGACTCCGCTCTTTCAAAAATGCTCCGGTCCAGCCTTTCAATGGTCCTGCTGATCACCCAAGCGTGATCCAACCTTGGTGGACGTGGACCTGCTTCCACGCTATGGCTTAGACGAACATAAAGACCATAGAGTAGAGTCGACATGAGCAGCAGAGACGAGAACTTCAAGTCACATAGCACGCCATCCGGATTCGTATCAACCACCACACCTTCAGACAGCAGAAGTTCCACAGTTTCATCGTAGGGGACTTTGACGTTGCCACCGGCTCTCAATAGCAACAAGAGCAGCTCCTTTCCACGGGGCTCAAGAGCCTTGCAGGTGGAGATAATAGCATAGTACGTAGCCTTGACGAAAATCTTGCCAATGAGTTTGTCCTTGCGCAGTTGCAACCACATTTCAAGAGTCCTCGTGCTCTTGTCGATGAACTCTCGGTGCAGCAAGTCACAGCATGCGCCTACCAGTCCCTTGTGTCCCGACGTCAATTCCAGCATCGATGCAGCTATAGCTTCCCTGTCAACTGAGATGAATGTATCCTTCTCGTACTGCCACAGCAACGACTCTATGTCTGACAGTGTAAAGCCGGTGGAAGCCATTCGGAACTCGTCCGAAAACGGAGAGTTTTCAGCGCCCAGCGAGGGAAGATAGAAACCGGGAGGAGCCCCTTGGATTCTCTTTCGACGAGCAAGTTTCAGCTCCAACAGCAACGAATCTGTGCCAATAGCTAAGACCGAGAGCAGCCGATTCTTGTACCGGTCCTGCTTCAAGTTCCGCACTGTGGCGAGAAACGATTGCTTGAAATCTTCAGACAGCTTCGAAAAAACGTTCAACTCGTCAAAGATGAGAATCACCGGCCTGTCGTCTTTCCCTTTACCCTTTCTGAACATGCTCATAAACTTACTGGAGCCAAAAGCCATAGTTGGATCCGGCTCAAGGTCCCCACTCGAACGCAGAAACTCCACAACCATGTCCCAGCGATCGCGATCAGTAAGCTGTGGATCTACAATCTGCCGCGGAAAACTCACGTAGATGCTGCAGAACTTCTCTTCTAGAAGGCGCCGTACATAAAGAGCCGTTGTTGTTTTTCCACTCTGCCTCACGCCGGTGAGAACACAGTACTTGCCTTGCTCTAGATCGATGGCAAGTGTGCTCACGTCAGGCTTGACATAGTAATTGAGAATCTCGTCACAGCCATTTGCGGGAGCAAACGATTTTGTCCCCTTAGGCAGCGTCCTCTTGAGCTCTCTACTGAAATCTTCTTCTGAACCTGCCCTCTCTCTCTTAAGAGAATGCTGGGGTCTAAAACCTTCTGTACTTCTACTGCTACTTCCATAGCGTGTATGCTCGTAATCGTCGCCATACTGATCACCGCGAGAACGGCTGTGCCCGGAATGACGATGATCTTCTCTGTGCCGCGACACACTTCCATGATGACGTTGCTCTTCTCTGTGCCGCGAAACCCTGTCTCTGTCACCTCTCAGCTTATACATACCCTCCCTAACCCTATGGCTGAAATTTCAGGTATTTCTACTTTTATCCTCGATTTTCCGATGCAGTCAGGAAATAATAAACGACGACATATTCTCCCTCACCATAAATTTTTATAATTAAACTAGAATGGTGATCTCAAACAAAAGATCATCACACACATTTTACATCCTCGACTCCAAAGATAACAGACATACCTTCTTCCTCTAGCCACGCTACCTTAGCAATCTACCCAGCAGGCGGCGGGAGGAGCATAGGCAGTTGGAGGAAGACATTTCTTCTAGGGTTAGAGTCATGGAGCCGTGAGAGCGCTAGCAAGCCGATCGCGGGGCACTGGATGACGCATCTCAAGCTCACGGCAGGTGATATTTCGAGTCTTTGTCCCTTGATCGCTCGAAGAATAAGCGTGCGTCAAGAGTAACCTGGAAATCGCGGTTTGTATTTCCAATTCCCATTCTCGACAACGGCATCTTGTTTGCCAAGGCGGAGGAGCAGCTACAGTAGCATTGAATGTAAGATCTCCAACGAGAATGCCATGCTGAAAGTAAAGCACAGCAAAGACACAAAGCTTGAAAATCAAGTCTATGTCCTTTCATCGTTTTGAAACCATTTTGTTCTAATTTATGTGAACTAGCTGAGGTGATGCTCTTTTCATACTGCTTTTTTTTTCTTGCAGGCGATGCTTGAGATTAAATGCTATGAGGTGAGCAAAAACACATGAGTTCTCTCGAAATGTTCTGAGAAGTTTATCATCTTTCTTCTCTTTCACACAGGCAAAACATGGAGCACCAATGTACATATCCAAGACATCACGCTAGTCTCTTTGATGGAAGCCTTCATGGTTCTTGGCATTTTGGTAAGCAAGCCACAACCTTCTTTCATGTTTTAAATCACTCTTTGCAGCTTGGATATCTAGTGTAGAAATCTCTTCTTCTGCAAAGAGACGAGTTGAGAGGCCGTCAATGCCACGTTAGTTGAGACAAGCGGCAGTGAAAGGCTCAAAAAGAAAAAGTCAAAGAGCTGAAATCCAGATGATTACACTTGCTTGTAAAGTACCTCCACAATCCCTCAAACTTCTTCTCTATCTCCTTCACTAAGGATCACAATAAGTCTCTTTTCATGCTTCAATCTATCCTTTTCAGGCTTATATGGTACATCAATCTATCCTTCTCACAGGTTTGGGTGACAAAAAGTGAGCCCCATTTACAAGTCCATCAAGGCACTGTGGCATGAACATCATTGAGTCCGAACAAGTACTAAAGCACCATTTGTGGCTGCCATCCCATAGGAGTTTCTTCTTCATGTAAGCTCCAGCTCGAAAGAAACTCTCATTTCTTTACTTCTTTTGTCCGTACAGATGATACAACATTGTAGCACCAAAGCTAACAAGGATGGTCCTACATTTTACATTCCCACAGAATTCAAGTCTCTAGCCAGAGTAAGCATTTGTCAGGGATGATCTCAAGTGAAACGAACTAGATCAAGAGAGTTTCCTTTCAAAGAGAATTTTTCTTTCAAAGCTGGACTGGTAGGATTTTCATGAAAACTCACCGGTTGGTCTCATTGGAGTGAATTGCTACTCCAAAGATCTCTGGCTCTCTTGGTGTCACTGTGTTCCATTTTGTCTTGCTGGACACACTATCACTGTAAATTTTCTGTCAAGTATCACCAGTTCTTTACACTTCGTTTTTTTTCTTCAGTGCACCGCCGGCTCACCACTGCACGCCCACCCAGCACCGAACTGTACCGCCTCCCATGCCGCCCACCACGCCGCCACCACCGACCGGCCGGCCACCGGAAACTAACTACTTTGTAAAAAAAGGCTCATGACGAGGGAAACTCACTCGATCTATCTATTCTTCCAGCCCTCGCTCTTGACTTTCTCAAAGCGGGGTTATTACTTCTTTATCACCTCTTTGTCTTGGAACTTTGCCTGGTCTTGTAGATCATGGATCTTCTCCTGGAGAAGCAGCTTCTGGGCTTCGAGCTTCTGGATCTCATCCTGCAGCGACAACCTTATATTCTCCAAGAATGCAATCCAAAACTTGATCTGACCTTGTACTTCTCCAGCTCCTCGTTCGCTTCTACAAATGCCTCCCACACAGCTTCCTCGGACGAAGGGAAGTGGACTCTCTGGCTTTGAGATATGGGCAGGGCTCGCGCACCGGCGCTGGTCAGCTGCTGCTCGAACGCGTCCATCTCCTCCTTGGGCCTCAAGAGGCACAGATAGACGGGCCATGCGAATCGCGTCCAAAAGGGGAAGAAGACGAGGCAGACCTGTGAGACCGTCAAGAGGCATCTGCCAGAAACAAGACGGCTCACACTCGTCAGATACGAAAAGACATATATCACGAGTATGGCGATGAACAAGGCCAGATAGTCGAAGGTGTCCATGTACTCAGCAGCCAGCAATGGATCCTGTTGGTGTTGCAACCTCCACATGACGACGGTGGCAAAGAGCCAATATGGAAGGTAAACCAAAAATCTGACGATCTGCAGTTCCTGTTGATCCTACAGTAGTGTATGCTATAGCCAGATATTCCAAATTCAATCAACAAGCGTTAAGTCGGAGAGTCTGAAACAAGAAAAGCTTTTGCTTACCCTCCATTCTCCATATTGAAGTTACTGAAGATGGCAACGGTTGACATGCCCACGATGGGAACAAGACAGATGCCCGCAAAAGCGTAGTACTCCCAGCGCCATCTCTTGACGTGGTGGCTGAGCTCGTACATGCGGCGGAGCCGAAAGGCGGTGAACATGAACCAGAAGCAGAAGCTGAATCCTTGCAGCCAAAACAGCCAGAGCTTGCAGCTTTGCAATGGCCCGACTGTGCTGAAGTGCCCATTGTTAACAAACACCGTTGCTATCCAAGCCAGCCCAGCCACGGAGCTAATAAGTATGAAGTAAATCCCACCTGGGCAAGAAAGTAGGAGCGCTGGCGATGGACAAAGAGCCATTTGCTATGGTGAAGGGTATTGTGGCGGCAATGCCAAAGCCTAGGAGGATGTAATCTATAGTAGAATCCGGGCGATTGGTGACCATCTCTTCCCAGTGCCCCAGTGATCAATTGATTTCTTGGGCAAGCTCGATCAATCCTTCAAGCTACAACCACTGAAAACTTTCAAAGTCCAGTGTAGCTAGAAGAACTAAAAGCAAGCGGACTGAAAACTTTCAAAGTCTAGTGTAGCGTGGACACTTTCAAAGTCTTTAGAAGAACTAAAAGCAAATAGAACAAACTTAGTCAAAGTTTTGCTTGCTTTTGGTTCTTCTAGTTATGTTGGACTTTGAAAGTTTTCCATGGCATGTGGAATTCACTCTGATTGTCTTACACTAGGATAATAGAAATGATGGATCACTTGATAATTTTCTTAGTCTTTATCACTTATTTAGTTTGATGTGGTATTTTACTTATTAGTTAGGGTGATACAATTGAGCAATTAGTAACACTTGTCTATGGCAATTTGGAACCCAACACTTCTATGGCTTTTAAATGGTTCATCAAGTATGACTTTTATATGGTATTTGCATTTAATATGGATGGCCATTTCATACACATTCAACCATATTATGCACGGACTATAAGTCGTTAGTGTTATTATTCTACCATCTGAACAAGTTTTGAAATTTAACAAATATTTTTATCTAATGGATCAGAATTTTCTAAAGGGTAATGAAAATTGTTTTGACAAAAACATTCGTCTAACCTGCCACATTAGTGACAAATTTTGATAATGTGAAGAATCAATGGAAATTTTATTCTTCTTGGGTATTTTTTCCCTCTGGGAAAATATTATTCCTAAAAATCAGAATTTTTTCCAATGGCAGAAATAATTTCCAAAAGGAAATTAATTTTTTATAGAAACCCTTAAATTCCTATAGGATAAAAGAAAGAATCTTCATTCAGAAAATTAATTCTCTTTATGGGATAAACTTATAGAAAATTTATCTTTACATTAGTGATAAGTTTTTTTGCTTGTAAGAAAAAAATAGTTCCCAACTGATATATTTTTCCTTTAGGGACTACTTCCCAAGTAGGTTGAAATGTATTATTTGATTTTCCTTAAATATACAAAAAAAGGTTATTTTATTTTATTTTTATAAATCTAGTGCCTTAATAAAAACTTTGTCCATATGCAATTAGTATATAATGGACTCTTCAGGCAAGGGAATCAAAGCAAAACACTTATGAAACTAATCACAATCACCAAGCAAGTATAGCAAGAGCTTTGGCAAAAACAAACATAAAAGCACTAAAAGAGACCAAAAAAATCACTTACCACATAAATGAGGACCCTCCCATAAATATATGTTTAGCACTTCCCAATGAAAAATAAGTGTTTCTAACATGAGCAAAAAGATATTCTATAATAGAAGAGAGAAGATTATACATTAGAAAATAATTATGAAAAAAAGTCTAATCAACCAAAAATAATATCGTTAATACATGAACTACTTCTATGTGATATGCAAAAATGCATGGGATTGAAATTACACCTCCTAGTAATTTGAGATCTCAATCACTACCAAGGGGTTGCTATAAGAAAAAAAAATATATATGAAGATGATTCCCAATATACCAAAATGAAGGAACATTTACTTTGTCATATACATCCAAATTTGTTGTCCAAGTTGTTTAAGTTATCCCATCCCAATTGATCTTTATTCTAAAAATCATGGAGAACCTAAAGCTATGTAAGCTCAACTTCACCAACTATTTCTTTATGATACCTAAGTGCTTGTCTAATGCATAGCTCATGTAGTGGTTGTTTGGCATAGAATTTCATCAAATGAAGTGGTCATGAATATGATCTTATAAACTATAACATCTACATTATATTCTAACTTGTGTAGATAGTTTGTGAAAATGAGCATGGACATCTTCACCACCTCTATGCATTGCATATAGCTTGTATATGAGACGGTCTTAGGTAGTAGGGACTATATGAACTTGCTCATTTATCTTGTGTACCATCAGATCTCCATACTATACCTAGTGAGTCTAATATGAGCCCAAAGACCATGTAAACATGGTTGTAGAAGACATAGTCATAGATAGAGCACTTACTATGTTCATTTTTTAGAATTGTGATGAAGCACAATAGAAGGATCACATGCCTATAGCCATACAAGTAGACACTCATTTATCAAAATCTTAGTTGTAAATGAAGCATAATGTGTTAAGCACTGTGTTGTGTCAAAGAGTTGCAGCTCATTGTATTTTCTTGAGTAGATATGTCTAGGATACTCATGATGATCACTTCCAAGTCTAGGATCTCTTACAAAAGGTACAGGTGTATAGGTGGTGGCAATATTATCCATTGGAAGAGCTTTGTCTAATGTAAATTTTTCAATCTTCTGATCCTTGGCAAGGTTAGTGGCATTAACTTGTGTTAAGGTGTCTATAAACATTAGTGGTTGATCACAAATTATATTTATCTTCTATTCAATTGTCTCCTCTCATGTTGAAGTTTAAGCCAACTTAGCCTCCATGCCAGCCACTTTCTTTGCCATATTATCCTTGGATGCATCCATTCTAACTTGCTCACCTCAGTCTTTGGCTTTTTGGAGCTCTTTTAGGTGGCCTACCTTCTTCACAAGTCCTTGTGACCATTCCTTCACCAAAGCTTGGCTCCCTGCAAACATGGTGATAAATGTTTAAATATTTTCATTAGCTTGTTAACCATTATTGTGATGTAAATGTTATCTAGTATCTGACTCAACACCTTTATCAACTAATGCTATTTTGTTATCCTCTTCTTCACTCGTCCAAAAGTGGTAGTGATGGCTTGACCTTAGATACTATTATGATTGATGACCTTGTCCTTCACCACCTTTTAAACACCTTCTTTGCCAACATCTAGGATACTTCAAAACTATTTAATCATTTCCTATGCATCTATAAAAACTTATAATCAATCAAAGCTACACTAAAAAGCAAAAGTACCTAAATGTATCACTAGAGGATTTTGTTCCTTAGCATTTTTGCGTTGCCTTTATTGTCATTTCCCCTAAACTTTAAAGAATGCATTCCTTTGCAATGTGGTCTAAGAAGAAATTAAACTTCATTATCATGCATAAAATCTTGAACATCCTTGTTGTCTAGGATTATAGGAACTATTGCTCCATATATGGTCGCCATTTCATTATTGCATTTGCAGGAAAATGTTTGCTATGCTTATGGCCTCATAAGTAAGCTCACTCAATTGGTTGAGTTGCAGGTGCATTATAGCTATAGTGAGTTTTGCCTAACATAGTTTACTATAGCTCAATCTAGAAGAAAAAATTTAAGGTTGATTCATAAATAACAAAAATATACACTCATTCACTTTTTCAAAAGTAAGGTCGCTCACTTCTTCTTCTCACTTCTCCTTATTAATTTTTCCATTTTATAACCCCATATTTGACCACTTAGAGGAGTTTTATTCACAACCTCCATAAGTTTTATTATCAACTTAAAGACTTACTAACCCCGTAAATGATTTCTATACCTTGCACTAAATCCAAATGTTCCACGTGTTTGATCCCACTATAAACACCTAAAGGTACCACTAGCACTTCAGCCTGTTATGCTAAAGCTATGTCTATTCACTTTTGTCTCATTAGTAATCCATGATAACTTGTGCTATAATCCTGTCTCCCAAATATTGAGCTATTTATTTATGAGTGGTTATCATATAACCACACATTTGTATTTTTAGGATGCCTAGAAACATAAGGAATGCCCTTCCCTAATATCCCTTCTTCAGTCCCCACCAAATCCCTCGTTGTCCACAACTATGCTTGCCAACACCATTGCTAAGTCAGAGCTCGAAAGCTTGACCACTAAGTCTTATTGACCACTGGGACTTCCTTACCACATAACTATATCTTTAGTCACTATATAAGAGGATTGCTCCTCTTCCTTTCCACAATCTAAAACATCGAAACATTGTGGTTCAACACAAGTCTTGTAGGTACTTCCTCACCTTTTGTCTTTGAGTGCCCTAGCCATGCGGTTAAAATGAGGTTTTAATGAGCCATACCAGGTATCTAAGTAAGTAATGCCACCTACACTTGGATTGGGAGTATTGACCATTTGATCTTTTGGAAGTTCTAAAGTTGATTTTTAAACATTTCACCAAGCTACTTTATTGGTCTATTCATGTTCACTCTAGCTTCTTGAACTCCATCTTAGATTCAATCTTGACACTTGTCATATATCAATCCTTTTTGTGTCAATTCATAAATTGTTTTCCATAAATATGTTACTATCTATGGTGGGAATCAAACCTTAAACCTTTACTCATAGGATATAACTTAATATTTGTTATGTGATTTATTCCATTACCCCTTCAAAAATATGGTTTTGAGGGATTTTATTTAAAGTTTTTAACATAAATCCATATTTTCTTCTCTAATGTTTTAGTATTTTATTAATTGTTTCATCATCTTTCATTTTCTCTAACAGTTTGAACACTCTGATATTAATGGCTTCCTCATATCCTTTTCTTCAACTTCAATCAGATCTTAATACTCTATGAAAGTTATATTAAACATTGGAACACTCTAATATAACACTTCACTCAGATCTTTAGCAAATTAATAGTGGCTTTTTAATTTAGAGCCAAAAATTAGTATATTAGCAAAGTTTGATGGCACATAGGTAGTTCCATGGTTTCCTCAACAAAACTTTGAATCATCATGCAACTTAATTGATTTTCTACTTCAACTTTTTGTATTGGACTGATTAGATATCTTATTATTGTGACACATTTTTTCTAGTTCTTTACCCTTTTTAAAAAGAGTGATCATGTTTTTTGGGATTTGATCTTTTTGCTCAATATTTCATCAAATGCAACTATCAATAAATTATAGTGATTGTGTCAAAGCTCCAAATTTGCATCTGCCTATGCATTAGAGTTCTAGATAGTCACAACTAATATTTTATAGGATGATGCAACTTTTAAGGAATATTTTCACCTCGGCTTTATAATAATGTTAAAGATGTCATGCTTTCTCATTTAAATCTAACATCTCTCACAATTATTATTGATATTGTTGTTCAATATGACAATCAATTGCAAGAATAACAATTAGAGCATTATTATTAAACTTTTATTCCTGGTGTAATAGCCCTAGTTTTGGAGTAACTAACATATAAGTAAGGTAAAATTATATAGCATCAGGCATAGGATATTTCATAAATATCCAATCCTTATGCCACAGATTATGTGATTTCACCTTTTACCCTATATATAAGATAATTATGGAGTGGAATCTAAACCCTTGGATATGTGGGCCAAAGGCAACAAAGCGGAATAAAGCTTTAGGTCATTAAATGAAAGAATAAAGCCAAACTCTCAAGTATATAGACAAAGAGTGAAAAAACCAAAATACAAAATGATTTATAAATTTACATCATTAAGAGTGAAAAGACAAGAGTACAAAGTGACATTAGAATAGTTTTAAAGCATTTTTCATTCCAATGCCAAGACTAATATGTCAAATGGAGCCAAATAGAATTTTGTATTGTTTTGGCATACTAATGGTTTAATGCGAGAATATAAGTACTTAACTAACTAGTATAATATGGGCTTAGGTTGCAAAACAAGGAGATATATGTAAGCAAGGGGCTAACCTATTTTTTAAATTGGTTCACTATACTCTACCTACCCATTATCTTTATTATACATTAAAAACCCCTCACAACCAATGCACACTTTGGGCTTTCACCTAAGTTCTAGAAGTTAGTCTTTCGGATAATCATAAAAACTTACTAAATATAGAATAATGTTAAATTGCAAATTTAACACCATTATATTCAAAACAATTTCTACATTCCATAAATATGCTTCATTAACAAATCTAGACACTTTCCATAAATAGTAAATAGAAACAAGAAATACATAAGATTATGCTTATCTAGTTAAGTGCAGATGCTAAACCAAGTTTACTAATACTTGAACAAATATAATTACACTGTATTATATAATTGGGTTTAATGTTATACTTTTAAACATGTACTAATAGTATATTTAAAATTGGTATTAAACTAAAGGATGTATTAGAATATTTATTTTATCTCAATAAGTGAAGATTTTTTTAAAAAAAGGTATAAAATCAAATCAATAATTGAATAGAAAACATTAATCATTTTCAATTATTGGATCCTAAATTCCTTTAAAAACCTCATCAGCTTTGGCACAATCAATACAATGGCATCATTCAAAATTGAGTTTATCATTTACTTGATATACTACTTATTCTTATGTGCGGAATCATATTCTCATCAAGCTCATTCCAAATGTTACGAGGTTGCTCAAGTCAATCCCACTGTGGAGCAAATAAATCTCGCAAGAGAAAGTGCTTGGAATGCTGCTACAAATGGAAGGTTCTTGCCAGGTGGATACTTTGGTAGGGAGGGCCACATCTTAATTAACATTCATATGTTTCAACGTAAGGACGATGATGTTATCATGCTCAGCGATTTTGATGAGGCTGTAACCAACATCTATCTCCAATGTATGGCAAGAGGACATGTTGGGGGTTACATTTGGTTTGAGTTACCCTTATACATGATTGTAGAGATGGAAAGTAGTGAGGGAATGACCTCCTCTTAGAAACTAAAGCTCTTGGACATGCAACTATCAATGATGCACTTGGCAATCTCAAGGTTGGTCTCGTTCCTCTTGAGATCAATGTCCCTCATCAGCTCTAGCTTCTTCTCCTCGAATTCTAGCCTGTTCTTCTCGATCCTCTCCACCGCCTGGATCAACATCGCCACCACCTCTGTCGCATGTCGATTCAGTGGCGATGCCCTGTGGTGCTGCTTCCTGATCGTCTTGTCCGAGAACTTTGGCAGGCTGGGCGGCGATCGAAAGTCGGCAGATCCAGCAGCAGCAGTGGCGGCAGCGGCGCAGATCCCATTGAGCGTGAGATTCAAGCCGCTGTCGAGAAATCCCGGCCTAAGATCGAACAGGAAGCTGGAAGGAGGCATTCCCTCGTCTTCCTCTTGAGCTTCCTCAGCTTCTTCATCATCATCATCATCTTCTTCTTCTTCTCCTTCATCTACTTCTTCTTCATCCCCGGAATTGGCAGCGCCCACCTCAACATCGTCGTCGGTGGCATCGTCCGCCGCTGCCAGTGGCCCCAGCTTCTCCCCGCTCGTGATTCCTCCCGGGATCCCTTTGGCGCCGCCGCTGCCGCTGCTCCGATCCATGAGCTTCTCCATGTGATCGTACCACTTCCATTTTGCGCCCGTTCCCCCTTTGCTGCCGCTGCCCAACTCCCTCTTGCTCTTGATGACCTTGAATTTCTTCTTGAGCGCGTCCAGCTTGTTGCGGCAGCGCGCGTAGCTGTAGCCCTCGCCGCACGAGGACGAGAGGCGCGCGAGAATGTCCTGCCAATCCTTCTGCCGCAGATTGCTCCTCTGGAGCTCCACGAACTTGGCGGTGTAGCTGTCGATGAGAATGCGCACCGCATCCTCGCTCCACACCCCACATTCCTTGCTCGCGCCCTCCATCTCCGCGAGCCCTAGATTCTACATGGAATTTTAGGGTTAGGTCGCGAGCTTTTTCCTTTCTTTCTTCATTGATAATTGCGACCATTGGATTTATGAACAACATGCGCGTAATAGTCTTCTATCGTCAATGGTTTTGGGCCACCAAAGAAATCGATGAGAAAGATGTCTAAGATTTCCAGTTTGTAGAAATAGAAGTTGTGACTCTTTGGCCAATCTAGAAATCTCCAAGATGAGAACTCATTGTTAAAATCATAGGAAAGAACTCACTGGGCATTTCATGGTGCTTGGAGAACAAAGCCGAGGCCGCGAAACGTTTCTCGTCATCGCTCACCAGTTTCACCATCTGCGAGTGAGTAGCGAGTGAGCATTCCCATGAAGATCAAAGAGAGGAGAATTCCATACCTTTCCAGAGAGCGTGATCTTGGAGCAAATTGGACTCTCCGCGTCCGCTTTGCCGCAAGTTCCCAGCGAGGCCTCGCTGATCGTGAACGAGCAGCGCTCGTCCGCGGCCAAGTCTCTCGCTGTTGGATCCAGCTCGGTCAAGTAGAAGTATGGAGTGCCAGTGGAATTAAACGCGGGGCCATCGCTGAAAGAGACAATGTTCCTGCAAGAACCAATCCAGAGAAAGAAGAATGAGTCCTCGAAAGAAAATTCTCCAGTGAAATTCTGGAAACCATACCCGAAAGGAACACCCTTGAGATGAATCGACACTGTGCTGCATGTAGGGATCAGGACTTAGATTATAGAAATGTAGAGAAATTTCTATTTTCTCCTCACCTTACAACGCCCCACAAGCCGCTGGCGACGAGCCATCTCGCGAACGCCGCGGATTCTGAGGGATCTGGCCTCCTGCTGCCATGAATCGATACCACCAGAAGAACGAGAGCGCATCCAAATGCCCAATGCCAGTGTCGTAGCGCCATTTCCAGCAAGAACCCTAAAAATCGATTCCTTAGGGCAATGCGTGCGGTGGTGCAGCGAGTCTTGTCGGGCAGAGTTGAAGTAAGCTCCTTCTCTTTCGCGCTCTGATCTCTTCTGTCGATCAGGTCGATGGCCAAGTTGTGTCACAGATCGGACAAGGCTTGCTTGTGCTCGTCGGCATTTCGGAATCCGACACCAAAGAAGATGCAGATTTTCTGTGCGTTTATTCTTTTTCCTCTTTTTTTGAAACGCTTGATCGATCGAAGTATTCTTGTGTGTTCTTCGCAGCTGCAGGAAAATTCTAAACATGCGCTTATTTGTGAATGACAAAACCGGCAAAGCATGGGATCAGAATGTAAGAAATTGCTTCTTTTTCTATTTCCCACTCTCGAGATACTCAGAAAAAAAAGTTTTTTTCTCTTTCTCGAACAGGTCATGCAAAAGAACTTCGACGTTTTGCTCGGTATTGTGTGAATGTAATGCAACATTAATCTGTTTTTTTTTTCTTCCACTGTCTAGTGAGCCAGTTCACGCTTTATGGATTTCTCAAGGGGAACAACCGGACTTCCACTTGGCCATGCCACCACTCCAGGCTAAGGATTTCTACTCCAATTTCGTCAAGGCTGTCGCTCACTCCTACTCTAAGGACAAAGTTAAAGGCAAGCATTGTGTGATCTCCATGAATCCCTCCAAAAGCTAAGCAGTGCGAGCTTGACAGATGGTATATTTGGCGCACTGATGCAAGTATGATCTTAAAATTGACGTGATGAAAACTTTATCTTTTTTTTTTCCTGGTTTCTGGATTGTTGACAGGTTCATTTGGTTAATGATGGACCAGTGACGCTGCAGCTCGATTCTCGCAAGCCTGGCGACGAGAACAATCACAATTCTTCTTCTTAACTCCCAGGTTTATAATTGAACGATCATCACATTGGCTCCTTTCGCATAGAGAATTCTCTGGCTCCCTGACCTCTTTCCCTTTTGCAGTGCACAACTAACGTACTACTCCACAGAAAGACAACCAAATTCGTTTGGAGCGATGGTACCAAAAGCGCCTGGGTCACAGGTGAGTGGGCCTGTCGCTGGGACGAGACAGTAACAATTTTCTTTTCTTTCTTTCATTTTTTTGCCAGCGGATTTCACATTGTGGAAAACGTACTAGCAGATGAGCGGTGCCGGTTGGTCCTGGTTTCATCAATATAGCTGTCCAACAATGTTCCAGTGATCACTAGAAAACTTAGGCCACCTTTTCGTCGTCTTCACCACTCAGCGGATGGCGTCTGGACCATCGTGAGAGTCTCGCTTCCGCAAATTTGCTCCCTCCCGGCCCGTCGATTGCATGGCTAGGCAACTTGGTGCTCACATTCTTGGTGTGAAAGTGAAGACAGTTGGGGATCAGTTGGAAGGGGGTGATTTTCCGGGTGAAACTTTTCTTTCCATCGAAGAAGAAGAAGAATGAGAAGCTAAACACAGGATTTTTATGAGTCATGGGACTGCTCTTGCTGCTGCTGCTCACTCTTCGTCTTTGTTCGTCAAGGTTGCTCGCCACCGAAGCCAGTTGCATTCGGGGACAGGACGGAGGATATCAGGCTCAGTAGCATCCGCGATGAACAAACATGCTAAGAACTTAGCGCTCTCTAAATCTTTTTTAGTTTTTTCGAAAGATCTTACCGCGTGTGGTGTGCAGAAACAATTTCGCCAGACCCTTCCTCGCTGCCTTCTTTTCAATGTAATCTGCCCAGCAGAAGGAAGTATTTGAGAAGTCGAGGACGAAAGACAAGCAGGCTATCTCCTTGTCCGGGAGCTACTGCAAATGCAGCCACTTCGCCTGATCTTTTAGCGGGATATGAGAACAGAGGCGATCAAACACCCGTCTCTTTCCACACCTTGTGAAACAATTCAGCAAGTCCTGAAACACGGGAACAGACTTTCTGAGTGTTTCCATTCGTAGCCACAGCCTTGACATAATCCGCAGCAGTGTAACTCTGACGCGTTCTTTTCCTGATGGCCTGGTCTGCTTGTTCATCAATCTCACAAGGCTGTTGCTTCCAGGCCCACAAGAGCTTATCCGCCTTCAAAGTTGTTGGGCAGGAGGTTGCAACTTCACGTTGCGAATCACAAAACCTTTATCTATCCTGGGAGTACTTGCATTTCACACTTGCACAAGATTTGGAATAAACTAGTCACGAAATGTTTACATAGTTTCTAGTAAAATAGAAAAAGCTTTGAACACATATAGCATTTTTTAATCATTCCAATGAAAAAGCCTTTAAAAATCTCACAAATGAACATTGAATTTTTTTATTTCTTTGGTATACTGGGAGCTTTTTTATTTATCAGGCAGCTCATTTCAAATGTTACGAGGTTGCTCAGGTCAATCCCACTGTGGAGCAAATAAATCTCGCATAAGAACATGCTTGGACTGCTGCTACACTTGGAAGGTTCTTGCTGGATGGATACTAGGGAGAGTAATACTTTAGTAATTATTCATATGATTCAATTCAACGTAAGAATGATGATGTTGGTGATTTGATGAGGCTGCAAACATCTATCTCCAATGTATGGCAAAAGGACATGTTGGAAGTGACATTTTGTCAAGGTACATGATTGTAGAGATGAAAGTAGTGAGAAGCTCTTAAATACTAAAGCTCTTCTGACATATAACTATGAATAGTACACTTGACAATCTTGAGATTGGTCTCACTCCTCTTGAGATCGATTGACGATTGGCAATGTCTCATCACTTCTAGCTTCTTCTCCTCAAATTCTATCCTGGTCTTTGGTAGATCCAGTATGCTGGTGGGGACATCGCATCGAACGTGAGATTTAAGCCACTGTTAAATGAATTGTGGTCAGGCCACTTTATATATATATATATGTATTATACTCCATGTATATATAAAAGGCTTGAAAGATTAAGTGCTTGTGACCACCATATACTTGTTACATACACATGTCCAAATCCTGCCCAATCGCAAATTTTGGGCATGGCGGCATAGCATTGTTTGGTAATGCAAGCAAGCTTAGGAAGGAGCTCTAAATGTATATTCATTTGGACCCGCTAATAAGAAGGTATTTCAAAATTTAATTTGTCAATTGCCAAGATAATCTAGAAAACAAATTACCCCTCCCGAAGGGGAGCCCTTAGATTTGGGTGCTGCTGACGATTTAATCCTAACAATGTCCTTACTTTCCAAGGGCACTTGGGAAGGCTACTCTACTTATCAATGCGATGCGTGGGCAGGGAGGTGTGTTTTTCATCCCGTGTGTGTGTGTTCCCAGGAATTGGGCTCTGATGAACGAGTTAGAGAAAACGATGGAACGGGAAATTGTTACCAGTCTTTTCCAGGAGATATTGTCAATGTAAGATGAATAGGTCAGCTTTTACCGAAAGCGGTTAAGAACACAATTAATCATTTTGCACGGGTTAAGTTACTCAATAACAGGAAATTTTTAGGGTTAGGGCTGGCCCTTTATTAATTGGATCCAAATATTAGAATGCATGACAGCAAAAAAACTTTCATGGTGCTTGGAGAACAAAGCCGAGGGCAGTGAGTTAGCGAGTGTAGTAAATCTTGCGATGAGAACAAGGAGAATTCCACACCTTTCCAGAGAGCGTGATCTTGGAACAAGTTGGGCACTCTGCGTCCGCTTTGCCGCAAGTTCCCAGCGAGGCCTCGCTGATCGTGAACGAGCAGCGCTCGTCCGCGGCCAAATCCCTTGCTGTTGGATCCAGCTCGGTCAGGTAGAAGTATGGAGTGCCAGTGGAATTAAGCGCGGGGCCATCGCTGAAAGAGACAATGTTCCTGCAAGAACCAATCCAGAGAAAAAGAAATCAGTCCTTCACCAGTGACATTCAACGCCCTTGTGGAGAGAGCTTATTTTCTCGCATTTCTCTCATCTTCGTGATCCCTGCAATGCAGCACCCTTAAGCCGCTGGCGACGAGCCATCTCGAATGCCGCGGATTGGGAGGAATCTGGCCTAGTGCTGCCATGACGACACCACCAGAAGAACGAGAGCGCGCCATTTCCAGCAAGAACCCTAAAAATCAAGTCCCTACTCGAGGGGTGGTGCAGCGAGTCTTGTCCGCCAGTAAGCGCGAGAGTCCTTCCCTTTTGATCGCTCTGAGCGCTTCTTTCGATCGGGTCGATGGCCAAGTTGTGTCACAGATGCTTGCTTGTGCGTTTTTTCCTTTCTTCCTTGAAACGCTTTCCCTGCAGATTTCCTAATTGAGCTTCGGATGGGAAAGGAGATACAGTTTTCTTTGGTGTGTTCTTCGCAGCTGCAGGAAAATTCTAAGGATGCGATTTGTGAACGACGAAACCGCCAAAGCATGTGTAAGAAAGAAAGTGCCTCTTTTTCTATTTCCCACTCTCGAGATTCTCAGAAAAAAAAAGTTTTTCTTTTGTGTTCTTTACGAACAGGTCATGCAAAAGAACCTCCGACGTTTTGCTCGGGATTGTATGAATGTATTGCAACATTTATCTTTTCTCTTCTTCCACTGTCCAGTGAGCCAGTTCACGCTTTATGGATTTCTCAAGGGGAACAAGCCGGACTTCCACTTGGCCATGCCACCACTCCAGGCTAAGGATTTCTACTCCAAGTTCGTCGAGGCTGTCGCTCACTCCTACTCTACGGACAAAGTTAAAGGCAAGCTTTGTGTGATCTCCATGAATCCCTCCAAAAGCTAAGCCGTGCGTATATTTGGCGCACTGATGCAAGTATGATCTCCTCCCGCTCTTGTTCATGAAGTTGACGTGATGGAAACTTCTGATAGCTGACAGGTTCATTTGATTAATGATGGACCAGTGACGCCGCAGCTCGATTCTCGCAATCCAGAACTCTTCCTCTTAACTCTCAGGTTTCAGTATAATTGAATAAGCATTCGCATTTGGATCCTTGCGATTAGAAAATTCGCTGGCTTCCTGACATCTCTCCCTTTTGCAGTGCACTACTAACATACTACTCCACAGTTTCATTGAAAGACAACCAAATTCGTTTGTAGCGATGGTACCAAAAGCGCCTGGGTCACAGGTGAGTGGCCTGTCGCTGGGACGAGACAGTAACAATTTTCTTTCATTTTCCGCCAGCTGGGATTCCACGAGCCGAAGCTGCCGAGCAGATTGTGGAGAACGTACTAGCAGATGAGCGGTGCTGGTTGGTCCTGGTTTCATCAATATTCCGCACCGGCTGTGCTAATGTCCGTCCAACAACTGTTCCATTGATCACTAGAAAACAATTTCCACCTTCATTAGCACTCCGTCGTCTTCACCACTCAGCGGACGGCCTCTGGACCATCGTGAGAGTCTCGCTTCCGCGAATTTGCTCCCTCCCGGCCCGTCGATCGCATGGCTAGGCAACTTGGTGCTCACAGTCTTGGTGTGAAGTGAAAACAGTTGGGGATCAGTTGAAGGGGGTGATTTTCCTGGTGAGACTTTCCTTTCCATCGGAAGAAGAAGGAGAACAAGAAGGATGAGAAGCTAAAACAGGATTTTTATCGAGTCATGGGACTGCTCTTGCTGCTGCTGCTATGGCTATGTGCTGCTCAAGCCCGGGACTCTTCGTCTTTGTTTGTCAAGGTTGCTCACCACCGAAGCCAGATAAGGAGGAGTTTCAAGTTTCCACCTCGAGCATTCGGGGAGAGGACGGAGGATATCAGGCTCATTGGGAATGCGGCAGTGATGGGGGATGGATCGATAAGAATTCCAGCTCAGGACGCGCAAGCCAATCAAGCGGGACGAGCGCTCTTTGCATCGCCAGTCCGGATGTGGGATCCAAACACCAGCATCCCGGCCTCGTTCGACACTACCTTCTCCTTCGTCATCCAGAGCTCGTCGTCGTCCACAAGCCATGAAACTGGTGGAGGCCTGGCTTTTATCATAGCTCCGGATGAACTGACGGTTGGTCGAGACGCTGGCTATCTGGGAATGCTCAACGATGCGTGCGTCCACCACCGGCGAGGCAACAGCAGCGAGGGTAGGCGTCCCGTGATCGCGGTGGAGTTTGACACTTTCAAAGACGACGAGTTTGGCGATCCCAATGACAACCATGTTGGCCTGAACTTGGGAAGCGTCATATCCAACGAGACGGCCGATCTCTCCAACGCGGGAGTGTTCCTGAGGAACGGCTCGTCTGTGACTGCCAGGATCAGCTACGACAGCTCCATCCAGCACCTCCAAGTTCGAGTGAGTTCCACTCCTTCCTCGCGCGACCCCGAGTTTGATCCGGCCAAGCAAGACAGCTTACTCGACGACGATCAGGTTCTTCCACTGATTTCCACGCCGGTCGATCTCTCCAGCTTTCTCAAGGAGTACATGTTCGTCGGCTTCACGGCTTCCACCGGTGCCGAGGCTCTCTCCCACAGCATCCTCTCGTGGACCTTCTCGTGTGCCAGCCACGCCGTCCAGAGGTTCCCGCCGGTGACTCTCAGCAACAGCAAGGAAACCATCTCCCACCGAGAGGAATGCGAAGACGCCATCGTGGAGGACAAGTTCGACCACGCCAGCGGCAGAAAGGGCCATCCCCCGGCCATCTTCTTCGTGTTCGTCAGCGTAAGTGCTACCGTCCTCTCGCTGGTTCTCATCGTGCTCGTTTCTTGGCGAAGGAACAGAGCTCACTCGAGCAAAACCATTAGTGCTAGTATTAGTGGCGGTGGTGGTGGCTGTGGTGGTGATCCATGGAGCATGCCAGTCGTGATGCTCCCAAGGCCGAGGCCGCTCCACAGGCCCCGAGAGTTTGATCTTCCTGAGCTGGTGGTAGCAACCGGGGACTTCGCCGAGAAGCAGAAGCTCGGGCAGGGGCCGCTCGGAGTAGTTTACAGGGGAAGCTTGCAGGATGGCAGCTTGGTAGCGATCAAAGTTCTCAGCAACGTCTGGCCGGTCTCGTCCTCAGGTGTGCTGTGCGTGCCGAGCTTGAACATGAGCAAGAACAGGAAGCGCAAGCAGCAGCTCATCTCGGAGATCCTCCCGGCTTTCAGCAAGCTCAGGCATCCCCGGTTGGTTCCAGTCCGGGGTTGGTGCGAGTCAGGCCCGGATCTCATGGTGGTTTACGAGTACATGCCCAACGCGAGCCTGGATAAGTGGCTCCATCCCGCGGAAGCTCTCCTGGCGCTGCCGTGGATCCACCGCTGGAAGCTGGCAGGGGACGTAGCCGCGGCCCTCCTCCATCTCCACATGTCGAACTTCCTCCACGGCCGCGTCAAGTCGAGCAACGTTCTCATGGATATCACCTTCCAGGCCCGGCTCGGTGACTTTGGCTTGCTCGGCTCGAGCTCCTCGCGAGCTCCAAGCTCTTCGGATCATCATCCTCAGCCAGAGTATCATCTTCCTCCGGAGGCGAGCTCCTTCTCGGATCCGTGGACCCGAGAGATGGACGTCTATGGATTTGGGATCGTTTGCCTGGAGCTCGTCTCCGGGGGTCCTCCAAGTTCCGAGGAGGGTGAGTCTCTGGTGGATCGAGCGTGGCTGCTACACGAGCGGGGGTGTGGAATTGGAGAGCTGGTCGATCCGAGGCTTGGGGGGAGCTTCGTGTTTGATCAAGCAATGACCCTCTATGGAGTTGGATTGCTTTGCTCTCATCCGGATCCGAGATCCAGGCCCGCGATGGAAGGCGTGGCGCGCTTGCTGGAGCGCAGGACGGACGTTCCCCCTATCCCGGCAAGAACTCCCGCGAGGTGTGATTAACGTGATTAATGTGTAAAGGTTGCCATGCAACTCTGCAAGGAGACGCATTTCTTTTCTGATCCATTGTGGGAAAGGAAACAAAAACCGTTAATGGATAGTGTTTTCTTCCTACTAAAGTAACGTGTAAGATAAAAGGTGTTCTAGGGCACATTTCTTTTATAAGGGTTGTCATTATCTTAAGCTTCTATCACTGTAACCCCTACCGTCAGATTTTGGGCATCCAACGGTGGCCATATGCCCTAAGTCCTGGACGGCCTAGAACCCTAAATCTTCTTCTTCCTAGGAAACCCTAGCAGCGGCGGAGGCGGAGGCGGGGGCGCGATGAGGTGAGCGTCGTGTGCGCGCTCTGTTTCTTCCCTCCTGACTCTCGCTCTTGTCGATGTGTGCAGTAAGCTCCAGGCCGATTCTCTTCGGGAGGCCATCTCCCAGATCTTCACGGAATGCCGGGAGAAGAAGCGCAAATTCCCCGAGACGATCGAGCTCCAGATCGGTCTCAAGAACTACGACCCGCAGAAGGACAAGCGTTTCAGCGGCTCGGTGAAGCTGCCTCACATTGCGCGGCCCAAGATGAGAGTGTGCATGCTCGGTGATGCGCAGCATGTAGGCGAGGTAAGATTGAGCGCCCTCTCTCCTTTAGTTGCCGGATTGAATCACTGGTCCATTGCTTTTTTGCACAGGCCGAGAAGATCGGTCTGGACTACATGGATCTGGAGGGGCTGAAGAAGATGAACAAGAACAAGAAGCTCGTGAAGAAGCTGGCAAAGAAGTACCACGCTTTCCTGGCTTCTGAGGCGGTGATCAAGCTCATCCCTCGGCTGCTCGGCCCGGGCCTCAACAAGGCGGGCAAGTTCCCCACTCTGGTGTCGCACCAGGAGAGCTTGGAGAGCAAGCTGAACGAGACCAAGGCCATGGTCAAGTTCCAGCTCAAAAAGGTTTTGTGCATGGGAGTAGCAGTGGGCAACATCGAGATGGAGGAGAAGCAGGTCTTCCAGAACGTTCAGCTCAGCGTTAACTTCCTCGTCTCGCTGCTCAAGAAGAACTGGCAGAACGTAAGTAGTAGGAGCGCTTCTCTCTTTTCTCGTGGCTTAACTTCGATTGTTTCCAGGTGAGGGTGCTTTACTTGAAGAGTACAATGGGCAAGCCAGTTCGTATCTTCTGATCGATCACTCACTTTCTACTGTGCAAGTTTTGTAATCCCGAAACCAAGAAATGCGAGAAAGATGTTTGCAAAGTGTGTATTCTAGGATATTTATCTGATGGATATACCCAAGAATAATCACCGGACGGTAAAGGATATACACAACCAAGAAGAGTAACAGGTACGGTAAAGGATATACTCTAGAATAATCACGTAATGAATATACCCAAGAATAATCACCGGTTTGAACGAAGGTCTATGATTTCTTCCTGTAGAGGCTGGCGAGCTCGACGTAGCCCGCCGGATCGCCGGGGCGGAGATCCAGCAGCCGGCCAGCGGCGCGCTGCCCTCGCCCGCGATCGCCAAATGTCTTGCAAGCTCCCAGGTACGCCCTCCACAGCCGAGCGTCCGACTGGAGGTGCTCCACCGGGAGAGTGGCGATCATCTCCTCCGCCGCGTCCAGCCACCCGGCCCGCCCCAGCAGATCCAGCAGGCAGCCGTGGCACTCGGGCGTGGCGGCGATGCCGTGGTCCTGCGTCATGGCCGCGAAGTAGTCGAGCGCCTGGGCGGTGAGCCCGGCGTGGCTGCACGCCGCCAGCAGCGACACGAAGCTCACCGAGTCGGGCTCCACGCCGTGCTGCTGCATCGCCCGGAAGAGATCGAAGGAGCGCTCGACGTCCCCGGCGCGCGCCCAGGCGGAGATGATCGCCGTCCAGGAGATGACGTTGGGCGCCGCCATGGTGGCGAAGGTGGCGGCGGCGGCGGCGGGGCTCCCGCAGGTGCCGTACATGTGGACGAGCGCGTTGGCGACGCGGACATCGGCGTCGAGGCCCGCCTGGGCGATGGCGGCGGCGATGGCGGCGCCGTAGGGGAGCGCGCTCTCGTCCGCGCACGCCGAGAGCACGGTGATAGCAGTGATCTCGTCCAGCGCCTGGCCGTCGAGGAGCATGGCGCGGCACAGGCGGAGCGCGTCCTCGGCGCGCGCGTGCTGCGCCAGCATCGCCATCATCGCCGTCCACGCCACCTTGTCCCTGGCTGCGATGGCGGAGAAGACGGCCCTCGCGTCGTCCAGGCTGCCGCAGCGCGAGTACATCTTGAGCAGCGCGGTGGCGACGATCACGTTGGATTCCTGGAAGCCCAGCTCGCGGATGAGCCCGTGGATCCAGCGCCCGTGCGCCAGGAACTCCGCCCCGGCGGAGGAGCACATCGAGAGGACGTCCACGAAGGTGATGCTGTTGGGGCGGACGCCGGCGAGGAGCATGGCGCGGAAGAGCGCGAGGGCGGCGGCGGGGCGGTGGTGGCGCGTGTAGGCGGCGATCATGGCGGTCCACATTGTGACGCTGGTGACGCGGCGGGAGAGCTTGTCGAAGATCTCGCGCGCCTCGCCCAGGCAGCCGCATTTGAGGTACATGTGGAGGAGATTGATGCGGAGGTGGATGTGCTGCTCCAGGCGCGCGTGGAGGATGAGGCGGTGGATCTTCTTACCGGTAGCGCCGTCGCGGGCGGCGGTGCACGCCTGGAGGAGCCGCCCATACTCGGCGGCGCTGGCGGGGCGCGTTGGCAGCGGCAGCGGCAGCGGCGGCGCTTGTGGCTGCGGTGGTAGTTGCTGGCGATGGTGGTGCTCCAATTGGCGCCCGAGCTCTGGATTTTGGAACTGTGGAGAGGAGGAAAGGAGCATCACAGAACATTAGGGTTCTTGGAATGATTTGATACCGGGAATATTCCAAGTATGAACATAGAATTTTTCCAGTGACACTAAAGAATACTTTTCTTCTACGAGAAGAGAAGCTCGAACTCGTTTAGCCGGAGGTTTTGCTTGTCCGTCCGAATGCATCCCGCGACATCCAGTCCAGCCTTGCCCGTCTTGGAGCCTCTGGAAATCATCCATTAGAGATCGTGGAGAAGATTCTTCCTGCCTTGTTCTACTCACCGGTTCTCTCCATCCGGCGACAGAGCCGAGCTCCCGAAATTTCTACTCCGGAAGAGCTTTAGAATGTTGGCTTCCACGGAGTTCTCAACGTAGAGCCTGCGAGGAGATTAGACTTCTAATGATTCGTGGATATGGCGAAATACCTTTTGATTACAACGGGGCGTTCTTGGCCCATCCGCCAGCACCGCCCCACAGCCTGCTCTTCGAGCTGAAGCAACGAAAACGCTGGACGCGTGAGCGAGGCAGCGAAGGAATGAAAACTCTTACCGCTGGATTGAGGCATGGTTCTAGCTGCAAGCAGCAAGGAAACGTTAGTTGGATCATCCAAAGAACATCGAATGCTCGTACCATGTAAACGTGAGAAGCGGCCGTGAGTGTTATGCCCACGGCACCGGTTCGTATCGACAACAAGAAGACGGTGGTAGGAGACTCCTGTTTCCATTAAGTCAGTTCCAATTCCTTGTCGTAACAATCCAAACCTTTTGAAAAGCTTCGATGGCTTGTGCTCGCTTCTTCATTGGCATGTCCCCACTGATGAACCTATAGTTGATTCCTTGCTTCTTGAACTGACACTTGAGCCATGCGACTGTTTGCATGAACTGGCTGAAGATCAACACCTGCAATAGTAACACCCGGTAACCAAGGTTCTCTAGTTTGAGTCAAATTCACCTTGGCGCCACTGTTGTCGGCTCTAATCGCAGCCAGATCCGCAAGCAGCGTCCTCAACTTGGACTCCATCCGGACACCTTTCACAGGGGCGGGTTCTTCTTCGCCACCTTCTCCAGCAGCTCCAAATGGAGGAATATCCGTGGCAGGCGAAGAAACAGTAGCTGCATTCCTCAGGTTGTTCACGGATATGGGAGTGGAGCATGTTGGACAAGGTTGGATCCCTACACCAAGAACCGAGATCACGCACTCCGAGCAGAACCTGTTAGAAAAGAGCTATAAAGATAAGTTTTTTTCATGATTCAAACATACCAGTGACCGCATGGTGTTTTTGTGGGGCACTCCATCAATTCCGAGCAAATCCCACACTCGCCAATGCCATGCGTCTCCGGCAGTGATCCTATGCTAGGATCAACGAAAGCACCAGCCGCCTCCTTTTTCTCCATGGGAACAAGCTCTTCATTGGACACAAAGCCTCCGCTACAGAGCCTGTCACGAGGAGTTCTTAGTAAACAACACCAGACATGGTTTCAAGCTTTAAAGTCTCACCTTCGAAGTGGTAGCAGGAGCGACATTATCTGCAGGATGTTCTTGCTCACGACTGTCGGGCCCCAACATCGAAATTGCTCGAACTTTGTGATCACCTTCTGGTACACCGCATCGTAGACAGCCCGCTCCTCGGGAGTGAACGTGACAGGAAGATCCTGCTCGGTTTTGGGCGGTAGCATCAGCAGCTCCCTCCCGTTGAACTTCTGCTGCTTGGTGTGCCTCACCATAATCTGATTATGAAGGAAAGATGGCAGGGGTTTGGGTGTCGTTAATGGAAGATGTTGGTGTTGGTTCCTTTGTTATATGATAAATCCCGTCTTCAGAACTCAACCGTTAAAGAATCTTGTACCTTGTTTAGCGTCCACAACAATGCGGTCTGGTCGTCGTTCTTACAGTGCCGCTCGTACGGACGCCCGATCTTTTTCCTAAAAACGTTCTTATTGTCAAGAGGTTCCAGCTTCAAGAACAAGAACTACGAAACATAAAATCAGTAAATTCAGTAACGCATGTGTAACTGCACGAATGTAGCTGCTTACTTGGCCATACAAATCGTATATGCTGGTGTTGATCGGTGTTCCTGTACAGCACCAGCGGCGGTTCGCTTTCAGCCTAGTGCAGGCGCGGGAGTGCAATGGAGCTGGATCTTTCACCTTGTTAGACAAAGAGAAGGAAAACGAAAAAGAAAGAAAACAAAAACGAAGATGAGAACGCCTGTATACTTTGTAAGAACTACAAGACTTACTGTGTGTGATTCATCTAGGACGACTCTCCACCAATCCACGCTGAGAAGAGGACAGAATTGTTCCGCAAAATCTGAGCCATGCCGCGTTGCCTGCGTTGCTTTACTGAAGTCGCTTCCTAGTGTTGCATACGTCGTGATTACCTGAGAAATGTAAACAACAAAGCTTATCAACATACTCTTTCTCAAGATCATACATACAAGATCAAACTTCGCAAGTTTCTTAGGATCACGAATCCTTTTCGAACCATGGTACATGTAAATGCTGCGATTGCATGCCGGATCCAATTTGCTCTTCACCTCGTTCGCCCATTGTCCAACAATCGAAACCGGACAAACCACTGGAGATGAAAAAAGCAACACAAATAAAACACAAGAAAGCTACACGAGACGAATGATCTGACATGGAAGTCACCTAAAGTTCCTCGCGATGTTAGAGGTGTGTCACACCGATCAACAGGGCAAGGATTTGCAAGAATGAGCGCTAGAATCTGTCAAACTAAATCAAATGTTACTCCGGAAAAAAAAAAAAAACAAAAAACGATGCTAGTACCTCGATAGTTTTGCCAAGCCCCATCTCCTCGCAAAGAAACCCCCCACGGATCTCCCCTTCCTTGAAGTCCATGAGGTGCGCGAGCGATGACGAGTACATCAACTGGCTTCCATCTTGTGGGCAATGGAGCTCTTGATAGTTGACGCTCAAGAGCCCGCCTTCTCGCTGCTCCGCGTCGAGCATGAACTGCAAAGATTGGAGCTGGTAGGGGCGCAGCGGCACCGTCAATCCGCTGGGCTGCTCCGCCTCGCAGTAGACGTTGTTCTCCAGGTCGCGGAGGAGCCCCGAGAAGGACATCCAGTCGGTGCTGGATCGACCCCACTGCCGCATCTCCTCCACCTCGGCCAAGCTCTGCTGCAAGTAAAGATCCCCCGGGAACATCCTCTGGAGCGTTTCGTTGAGGACGAGCGGCTCCTCGCCGCGTTCTTTCTTCAAGAACACTTTGACCTCCACCCTGTCGCTCAGCTCCGTGGCGATGGTCGCCATTTGCCCCTGCGCTTCGTTGAGCCTGGATCGGGCCATGGTGGATCAATAGGAGGGGAGGGAAAAAGAAGAAAATCCAAGGCGCGAGAGATCCTTACGCGAGCTCGTCGAGCAGCGCCTTGTGCTGGCCCCGGATGAGATCCAGCGGGTTGTGATCGCCGCCGCCGCCGCCGCCATCGACATCGAAGCCCGGGAGCCGGAATTCTTTGCCCTCGCCCTCGTCGATTGGCACGCAAATAGCCCCAAATTCAAACCACCTGTTCTTCGCGCCCGCGCCACAAAAGAAAATATTTCCAGCCATCAGCTCAACTGCGATGATCCATCGCAAGAACTTACACTGGATCGCTAGACGGATCCTTGCGCGGCCTGCCACCGCCACCGCCCACCGCCCCGCCGCCTCCGCCGCCGCCGATCGACGAGGGCGAGAATGGCGGCACATCACAGAAGAGGAAGTGGCTGTCATCGGCGGTGGCGGCGCCCACGAAATCGAGATCGCTGCTAAAGAGGCTGCTGTCGAGCGTGTCGTAGTGGATCCGTGGCTTCTTCTCGGGGAAGAAGATGAAATCATCGGAAGCTGGAGAAGAAGCCATGGATAGAATATACCCTCCTCCGTGCGCAGTCTTTTATACAGTAACGAATACAAAGTATATACAATGAGTAATACAGATCCGGTCCGATCCGCGAAATCCGATATCCCGTTAACAAACTCTCGCATCTCGCCACGTGGCGCAGTTACTGTCCGGAGCTCAACTGAAGTAATATCCCCGAATCTTTTCGTCGCATGGGTTTCCAATACTCGCAACTTACCATATCATATCATAGATTGATTGATCAGTGAAGACCATTATAGAAATTTTTGCTTCATTAGAAAGGAGTTACAAAGCTTATTTCTCTCTGCCTGGCGTGATGTTACCAACATTTCTCGTTTTCACTCTCATGATCTGGTAGAAATCTTGCCAATCTCCACTTCTTTTCTTGGATCTTCTACTTTGGGCCGACGCTGGCAGTCGCGACTTGGACATCAAACGTCTTGGGCTTGTGAGGCTCCGGCGGCGGTACTTTGGGCACGGTGACGGTGAGGAGACCGTCCTGGCACGACGCGGACACAGCCTCGAGATTGGCATTGGCCGGGAGATTGAACTTCCTCATGAACTTCCCCACTGCTCGCTCCACTCTCACGTACTTGACGTCCACATTGGGCCCGTCCTCGCGCTTGCGCTCGCCGCTGATCTTGAGGATGCTGTCATTCTCGATTTGGACCTATGATTGATGATCACCGCAATGAACCAACCAAGAAAACCGATCAAAATCATTTTTTTTCCTAGAGAGTACTAACCTTGATGTCGCTGTTCTTGAGGCCTGGAACGTCCGCGACGAAGACGTAGCACGCGGGGAGCTCTTTCACATCCACCGAAGTGTTGGCCATGGAAAGCTCGGGGCCAATCCCAGAGATGTTGCTAGCGCCCGATCCGGAGCTGACGTTGTTCACCTCCTCCTCCTCCGGGATGGTGGAGTAGAGATCCGCGTAGTCGGTGTCGACGTAGCGGTTGTAGTCCAGGAAGCAATTGTGGACGTAGTGGAAGTGTTCGCCAGGCGAGCGCGAGCGCGAGCGCGATTTGCTGCGCTCCCGATCGACGAGCACGCCGGTGCCCTGGTAGATGCTGCGCTTGCGGTTGTCGGCTGTCCAATTGGTGCGCTTGGTCGCGAGCTCCCTGCGAGCTGCGTTCTGCCGGGCCTCGCGCGACTGCTGTGGCGTGACGCGCTTGAACTCGTCGAGCGACTCCGTGGTGTGGTGAGGGCGAGATCGCTACCTGTGAGCGCCGATGGCGTCAATGCGGCGTTTTGCGCCATGGATCAACAGTCGCGCCCTCCCGCGCCCCCCGCCACGACCCTCAAAGCCCTACCTTGGTCTGGAACCCTAAGCTCCAAAGTGGCGGGAAATCTCATTGGATTGGCGGGAATTTGGAAAATTTAAATTAGTTTGGCGGGAGTTCCAAGGCCACAACAACGGGAGACTCTCGAGAGGTTGCTTCATAACAAAGCAACGCTGTGGCGCAGTTGCCAGTTTCTTGGATGGAATCGAACACGCGACGTGACGCGTTGCCCAAGTGCGGTCCTACGTCAGCGCTCCATTATAAATCACCCGCCACCATCTTTTTGAACTCGGTTAATTCCAGCCGCACACGTGGTATAGCTGGAGCTTATCTGACGGTGGCAGTGAATTGAAAGCACTAGGAGCGTTTGTTTTATCTTTCCACCATTCCACATTCCTTCTTCCATCGCTCCTAAAGCGCGCTCTAGGGGCGATAGGGTTTCTCTCTAGGGCCCCGGGGCTAGGCACTGTTTGATCGTCATTCTCGTCCCAGGTGAGATCATTGCTCCTCTGACCTTGGCGGAGGATTCTTAGGTGGCTTGTGTTGATCAGAATGCAGAAGAGCACGGACGGTCGCCTGGGGGCTGCGCGACGGCGCTGGAGATCCTTCTTCGTCGGGAGGAGTGATCCTGAGATAGATTTCATGGAGGTGGAGGTAGAGGCGGGGGGCAAATTGCCCTGGATTGGCAAAAATGAGAATGCCAAGGACGATAGCACAGGGGGCCCCAGCGAACACACTCACGGGCGGTCCCGGAGATCGTTTGTGCAGGGAATTAGTCAAAGAAGGATCCGTGCAAAATGGCTTCCTTCCAGTGATCAGGTAATCATAGAACTTTGATGTTGTAAGATCTGACGTGACTGAGTCACAGGAGAGCCGGGGTTTTGGAGAGATTTCTTACGAACAATCTCGAGCGGCTGCAGAGAAACTCCGAGAGGAGAACTTGAAGAAGCAATTGCTTAACGCTGTTGAGAAGGGGGATTGTCCACTCGTCAGATCTTTATCCTTGAATGGTGCTTCATTGGAGGTATTTTCGTGATTTGTTTGCTCTAACTAGTGAGAACAAACATAGTGGACAAATGCTGAAGGAATGACTCCACTCATGGTTTCGTGCACCCGAGAAGATCTCTTCAGCATGGCACTGACGCTAATAAAATTGGGATGCCTTCCAACAAGTTAAGTTTTCCTTGCTTGTGTGATGTTAGTTGATTCTTCGAAATCTGAAAGGTTCCGCGGGAAGATACGCTTTGCACCATGCTGCAAGTTCTGGGCTTATCAACACAGTGGCCTTGCTACTTTCTTGTGGAGGTCTAACGTAATTTAGTTATAATGCTTGCTGAACTTTCTAACTAGTCTTCCTTTCTTCCTTCATTTTCTTTCTTTGCAGCCGATTCTCTGGTGGCGAACGATGAAGGTCAAACCCCTCTCGACATAGCTAGAGAAAAGAAACATATAGCAGTGGTACGAATAATAGAGGTATGTTTCACGCTTTGCTTTCAAATCAATTGCACAAGTCTGGTTTCAGGATTGGGTTTGCTACTTCGGAGGATATTTGCGTGAGCTTTACAACTCCAAAAGCAGCAAGAAGCTTGTCTCCAAAAAAGTGTAAGCACTCAGCCAAGGAAGATTGCTTTTCGGTCTCTGACATTACATTGAAAACAGCTGGGCCGTCGTATTGCCGACATGCTCGACAGAAAATGGAGCTCCAGCAAGGAACGAGCTTGCGTTGTATGCTTCAAGAAAGGTAATGGTCTTGTAGCAGATCTAAACAATACTAGAGAGGAAATGCTGTGGCAGGGAAATTCGCCAACAAGAGTGGTCTGGCTAGGAAGCTTTACCAGTGAAATACGAGAACCAAACATGGATGCGGCTGATCCTCATCTGGTTATTTTGGACAAAGTTACCAGTAAGCGATAGTTAACGTATGGTTTTATGTTTGTATCTCTTGTTGTTTCAACAGAGCAAGAGCTTCGATTTCGAGCCGAGATGAGAGGAGATAAAGATCAAGTTAAGAGATTGCATGTAGCTTGCACACAGGTAATCATTCCAAGTCAGAAAAAAAAAACCGAAAGAACAGCTAAAAAAATCTGTGATGCCTTTATCTTTCAGGGCGGTGAAGCGCAAATGTCTGTGTATCACAACATAGCTGGAGTTCGTTCAGCTGATGATATCTCTCTTGAGATTGCCATGCAAACATCCATCCAAACAGCATTGCAAGAGGGAATACCACTCTCGAAAATGGTTTCTTTGGATCTCAAGAAGAAGAAAATGGTTTTGTAAAAAACTTTTGATCAAATTAATAATAAAAAAATAATCCAAAAAATATTTATAAATACAAAGAATATCTCTATTACACTTCAACTAATCAAAGACATATATGATATAGTTACACTAAAATGTCTTTGATATCTCAAGGGATATATATTTAGAGATTTAGACTATTCAATGTTTCATCAATTTAAAACAATAAAAAACATTGAAAAAATTAATGAATTTAGAAGTGTACAATTACAATATTATATATTATTATTAGTGTAGTGGGATTTTGATAGCTATCAAATTAATTTCAATAGAGACCACTTGTTTTTATAGGTATATTATTGTATTTCAATTAGTAGTAGCTTTAATTGCCCCTAAAGAATGTTTAGATTTATGCTTTTTTAAAAGATTTAGCTTTTTATATTATCTAGATTTCTCTTATTTTTATATGTGAGTGCATGGAATATAAAAGGGAATACAAAAAATATGCATATCAATTAGCCCAAAAATTCTAATTTATATATAGGAGTGAGTGGTCTGAATTAAAACCAATCTAATAGCTACCAAAATCCCACTACGCTGTCAAGACCCCCAACAAAATCAAGACTGGAAAATGCAGAAGATAAAGAGAAAAGCTAGTGGAAATAAAGAAGAGGCCTTTAACTGGTGTTAATTCAAATTGTGGAGAAATGGAACAAGGCTAACTTATATATACTATAGGTTGATGAAGCTCCACCACTCTTGGATCTAAAACGACCTAAATATAACTGAGGTCGAGGAGGTGCCATATCTGTGAGACACAAAATCCTTAGGCCCCAAAGTGGAGCCGGAAGGGTGCCACGTGGTAGTGGCCGAAGCGAAAGCCAAACGAGCGTAACACGTTTGGACTAAAAGCTCCGACTTGAAAGGTCGAGAGCGGGAATGGAACTCCCAACAAAGTGCTTGAGGAACAAGCACGAAGCGAGTAATAAGCGAGGCTCCAAAAAGGGACCCAAAAGGACCAACACATGATACGTGGAAGTGTCCGAGATGGAGTTTAAGATGGACCCGAGTTGGAGTCCGAGATGGAGTCCGAGACGGAGTCCGAGATGGAGTCCGAGGTGGACTCCGAGATGGAGTCCAAGATGGAGTCCGAGGTGGAGTCCGAGATGGAGTCCAAGTTGGACCGAGATGGAGTCTGAGATAGACCCGAGATGGAGTCCGAGATAGACCGAGACGGAGTCCGAGATGGAGTCCGAGATGGAGTCCGAGGTGGAGTCCGAGATGGAGTCCCAATTGGACCGAGATGGACCCGAGATGGAGTCCGAGATGGACCGAGATGGAGTCCGAGATGGACCCGAGATGGAGTCCGAGATGGACCGAGATGGAGTCCGAGATGGACCCGAGATGGAGTCTGGGATGGACCGAGATGGACCCAAGATGGAGTCCGAGATGGACCAGAGGTGGAGTCCGAGATAGACCCGAGATGGAGTCCGAAGTCGAGACCGAGACCGAGACCGAGACCGAGACCGGGACCAAGATCGAGACCGAGACCGGGACCGAGACCGAGACCAAGGCTGAGGCCGAGACCAAGCCCAAGTCCAAGTCCAAGTCCAAGTCCGAGTCCGAGTCCGAATTCGAGTCCGAGTCCGAGTCCGAGTCCGAGTCCGAGTTCAAGTCTGAGAGGGTGAAAGCCCAAAGCGTTCGTCTCCCAGACCCTGGAGGGTTTGGTGAGCTCCAAAAGTATAGTAAGGGGGAGGACTGCAGTGAAGCCAGTTTGGCCCAGGAAGGCCAGACCTAGTGTTGGGTGATGAACTGACCACTAGGAAGTCCAAGACTAGAGTGAATATGGATCGACAAACGGGGTAGCTTGGTGAAGTGTTCAAGAGCCGGCTCTAGTTCCCCCGGGAGATCGACTGGCCAATGCTCCCAGTCCAAGTGTGGGTGGCACTACCTACTTGGATACCAGGCATGGCTCAACGGAACCTCGCTCTAAGCCCATGGCTAGAGCACCCAAAGGCGGAAGGCGGGGAGAATACCCAGATGGCTCGCGTAAGGCCACGGTGTTCCGAAGTATTGTCCCAAAGTCCTAGACTGTGGAAAGGAAAAGGAGCAGTCCTTTGGTGTGGTGGCCAAGGATACGGTCATGTGGTGAGGAAGTCCCAGAGGACCATGGGACTTAGTGGTTAGGCCTGTGGGCCTCGGTCCAGTGGCAGTGTTGGCAAACACGGCCAAGGGCAGAAAGGGACTTAGTGGGGACAGACAGAGGGATATTGGGGAAGGCTATTCCCCTTGTCGGTGGGCATCCTAAGGATGCTAAGGAGTGGATCTGGGATGACCACTCACGGATGGTTGGCTCAGTCTTGGAGAGACAAGACTGTGTTGCAAGTGGTATTGGACTACCAGTGTGGCAAAGGTGATTGGGCATGGCCTTAGCATAACAGGCTGCTATGTTGGTGGTACCTTTGAGTGTCGGCCATGGGATCGGACATGTAGAGCACTTGGACCAGGTGCAAGGGTGGAATGGCATGGATGCCACTCTTGGGGCTAGCAAGTCCCAAGTCCTGAATTAGACTTATGGAGGTTGTGAATGAGACTCCTCTAAGTGGTCAGAGGTGTGGTTAAGTGACTAAAGTAGAATGGAAAATTTAATCGATTACAACTTGGTATCGGAGCTGTTCCTTAGTCCGACTTTTA